ATATAATTTTACTACAACTTTTTTCCCCTTATTAATTCTCGTGAAATTGCTCAAATGAGTAATTAAAAAAAGGATGGAATGAGTGTATCTATAAGTCACTTGTGAGTTTTAGGTGGGATTTGTAGGGAGTTTGGGAGGGAAAAAGAATCAGTAAAGAGTAATAGATGTATGATTGTGTAAAAAAAAAAAAAAAAAAAGTAATAGATGTATGATAATGTGTTACAGAGTAGAACTTTTGAAAGGGCCTATATCGATGACTAAACATTGCAAAATTGTCATTTTTAATTGAATTCCATTCATACATGTGATTTGTTATTAATTAAAATTAGTTTTTGGATCCGTTCTACGCACGAGTTGTATATAGGTTATTATTTATGCTACAAAAATCACAAATTACTTGAATAACTTTTATCTCATGATATCTTGTAAGTTGTAACATTACACTTGATGATAGTTATTTGTATTAAATAAGTGAATACCAAACCCAAAAGTTAATTAGAAATTTATATTATGTCACAAAAAAAAAAAAAAAAAATATTAGGAGAGGAAATAGGAGTCGAAGTAAACAGTTGATGAATTGAATAACAAATTCAATATGTTGAATCAAATAGGAGGTTATTAGAGCAGTCTCATTCATGGGCAAAAAAATGCCCATGAGGAAAATTTAATGGTAAAAATGCTAAAAATGTTATCCCACTCATGAGCAAAAAAAAATATGCCCATGAGGAGATTATCAAATGCCCATAGGAATGGCAAAAATAAATTGCTACAGTACCTATGGGGCCATGAGTGTTTGTGAGAGAAAATACAGGAGAGATGGTGGTGTGGTTTTTTTTTTTTTTTTTTAGCCCATGAGTGTGGGAAGAGTTCTTAAATAAAATGCCCATAAGAAAAAATAAAAAAGAGGAGTGAGAAAGTGAGTAGAGAGAGAGTGGCATTTTTATTTTTTGCCCATGAGTGAGAGTGGTCTTATAAAAAAATTAAGAGCTATTGGAATTTTGGAAATTAGGGGGGGGGGGGTGGAAAAGTTTCTAAGAAAACTAATAGCAAATAAAATCATTTTAAAAAAGGGGGGGGGGGGGTTAGTAATGATCAATTGATCAGTTATAACGGGGCGTTTGGTATGAGGGATAGGGATAAGGAGGATAAAAGGGTAGGTTAAAGATGGAGGATTAGTAAGTGGAATAAGGATAAAAATGATGTTGTAGAATTGAGAATTATATGAGGATGAGCAAGAAATTTACTTAACTACCCTTACTCATATTTATCCTTTTTCTTCCTTATTTTCTTCATTAAGGGTACAAATGTAATTTGCCTCATTAATTTTATCCTCATCGAGTCATCCCCTATACCACCTACCCCTAGTTATTATTTTGCAGGGATAACTTGCATTTTTTTCCCTATCCTCTCCTTTTAAGTTATCCCCATCCTCCTAAACAAACAAAAGATTATTTAAATCCCCTTCCTTTTATCCCTATCCTCCTCTTTTTATCCCTCCAAACAAACACCAATGTCATACCAAAAGTTTCAATAAGTTGATCCATGTATGGCCCAAGTTCATCTGTCGAGCTTGGTTGTTCAAAGCCAAATTTCTCTATTTCATGTTTTGTTGTGTCGGGACGTACTTTGTCATGCTTCTCCTGAATAATGTGTCATGTTGTGCCTACATGTTGTCAATATTATAAAATTTCAATTTGTGTTGGGTCGTGTCGTGTCTCGAATTGACTCCAACCTAGGGCTATCTTTACCCCTATGCTAGCACATGTGACTTGATAGATGAGCCTTATGCCATCTTTCCTTTAATGTTGTAAAATGTAAATAATTCCGTTAGTCTAAACATTGACCAATCCAATGAAGTAGATATTAATGGTTAAAAATGTGTCTCAACATAAGCACAGACCCAAGTGATACATTCAACATATGCACATGCAAATCCAAGTGATGCATTTGAAATAAACCACAGGAGTATATTCATCCAATTTTCCTAATGTACTCTATAAATCACCTAGAATTTGAATTTTATTATATGAAAGGAAATTTTGTCAGGAACCACCCGTTAAAAACAGTTTTTTGTCAAAAATCACCCAAAAAAAAATTGTTGTCTACAGCCACCCAATTTTAAAAATTTGTTGTAAAACACCATTGGAGTCTATTTTCCGGCATTGACCCATAACTCCAGCATTGACCCTACCCACGTGCGTTGCACGTGACTTCTAATAAACCCCTCTCTTCCCTTTTTTTCCCCCTCGGAAAAATTTGGAGTTCCCTCCATAGTCTCTCTCCGTTCTATCTCTCTCCTCTTTCAATTCAAGGTTGTTATGCCGGACGCAAGGTTGTGATTGTGTGCAACTTCAACAAAGGTAGCCGCAACCGCCGTTACGGTCACTGCCTCATCGCCGGCATCAACAAGTACCCTAAGAAGGTCATTCCCAAGGACTTCGCCAAAAAGCAGGCCAAGAAATCTAGGGTTGAATGCTTTGTCAAAGTCGTCAATTACAATCACATTATGCCTACTCGTTACACTCTTGATGTTGATCTTAAAGATGTTGTTTTTGCTGATGTTCTTCAATCGAAAGATAAGAAGGTTATTGTTGCTAAAGAGACTAGAGACTAGAGACTAAAGCTATGTTTGAGGAAAGGTTTAAGACTGGAAAAAATCATTGGTTTTTCTCCAAACTCAGGTTTTTAAAGAATTAGAGGTCTAAGAAATGTTGATTATTGTCAATTTTGGATTTGAGTTTTTGTTTTTCACATCTGTTTTGGATTGATTTTTGTCATCATTATTGCTATGCTATGATGATTTTGTTTATGGATATTTTTGTTGATTTTGATGTGTTATGAACCCATTTTATGATTGAAAATTCGATATTTTACTTGCTCTCGTATTTAATTTAGATTGTGTTCAATTTATTTCTGTTGAATTTGATTTTTTTAATTGCACTTTTATGGCTTGTGAAGGAGGAAAAGGAGAACAAAGAGAGGAGAGAGATAATGGAGGGAACAAAAGTCACGTGCAAGGCACGTGGTTAGGGTCAACGCCGGAGTTTTGGGTCAATGCCGGAAAATAGGCTCTTGTGGTTTTTGACAACAAATTTTTAAAATTGGCTGGTTCTAGAAAGTCAATTTTTTGGGGGGTGGTTTTTGACAAAAAACTGTTTTTAACGGGTGGTTTCTGACAAAATTTCCTATTTGAAATGAATTCCGATCCGTATATCCAAACACAACCTAAATAAATTCCGTATATCCAAACACAAACTAACATTGTTTAAAATGAATCTATATCTATATCTATCTATATCTATATCTATACTTTAATATTTAAAAACAAAAACCACAAATCTATACTACGCCACGTATCACCATAATCACTCATATGCCACATGTCACCTAACTTAATCCTTTCTTTTTAAATTTCCATTTTAATATAAAAACAAAATATATATATATAATGTTTGAGTCTTTAATCTTTATGCATTCTAAAACTTACAAATTTAAGTAAGAAAATTGAGTGTTTCATATTTAATATAATAAATTAAAGTTAAAGTAATTAGTGTTCATTATTTCAAAAAAAAGTAATTAGTGTTCATTACATTAACAATAACATAGGTTTTTCATCTCCTAAACTTAAATATAACTTAAACCAATGTGTTATTTCATCCCCTACAATATCTATGTATCTATAACTATAACTAAAGTAGGAATCGATGACATCATCACTGTCTCACTGCCTATGTGTCAGCTTTTTATTAAAAAATTTCTAGCCAAAATTATAAGTGACATCATTTTGTTTTTTTTTTCTTTTTTTTTCTTTCAAGATAAAGCTATTGTTTGGAAAAGCTAAATTAATTATACATTTTCATAAAAAAATAATTTTTTTTATTCACAAAATTGACTAACGACACAATTTTCTTATATACAAAAAAAAAATACTATGGAATTGGTGGTAGCTTTTTCATATTTCCTACTTTCCTCCTATATTCACCACTAAACAATAATGCTATCATTTTTTTTTAATTTTGAATTTAATTAGAATGTTTAACATCATGTCTTCTAATATTGCTAAAACCATGCATCACACGGGACTAACCTAGTATATACATAACTAAATTCACAACTACACTGACACTTTTCACACTTTTCAATAAAAATAACTTAAGTAACAACCCGTGTCTTGTAAAAAAAAAAAGGGATTTTATCACTGGTACCCTAAAAGATTTGACTTTTATGAATGGTGCACCTTATTAAGTTTTCATTATCAGCGGTGCCCCTAATATTTTCACCTAATTGCTACAGTGATCATATTTGATTAAAACGTTTAGTAAATGTTAAGTGTGGGTATTTTGTGTGGAATATGTCAGCAAGTGAGTTTACGATAATGCCCCCAATCATTAACTCTCCCTCCAAGCCCAACTAACATCATTTATCACAAAAAAGGCAAAAAAAAATAAAATTGATCGTCCAACTTCCATACTCTCTCCCCTGTTCTTAAGCTTGCAATAAAGCCCTAATTGAAGCAAAATTTGTGGAGAATCGCTTTGACAAATTGCGGATTAAGGTTAGTACTCAACTTCGATCTTGATTTGTGAATTATTTTGTATAATTCTTGTGGTCACACTTTCTTTGGAATTTTTACAACATTGTCAAGCAATCAGATAGGAAAGACTGAACCATAATTTCTGACCAGAAGAAGACATTGAAATGTATGAGATTATAAGAGGGATGAAGAGAAGAGAAGAGGGGAATTCTAAAGCAGCAGAGAGAATAAATAGGAGACAGAGGAAAGAGGGAAAAATCGAAAAAAAGGAGGGAAAAGGAGAACTGGTTTTTGGGGGGAGTTTTTAGGGTAGGGGCATTAGAGTATTTACACTTTCCTAACCCATTAAACCAGCCAAAAACCCCCATTTAACGTTTAATTAACGTTTTAATAACATATGATCACTGTAGCAATTAGGTGAAAATATTAGGGGCACCGCTGATAATAAAAACTTAATGAGGTGCACCATTGATAAAAGTCAAACTTTGAGGGTACCAGTGATAAAATCCAAAAAAAAAAACAACTCGTGTATCGAACGGGTCAAAAGACTAGTTAGGTGAATAATCTAATCCCGATCACTTAGCTAAGATACACGTGGCAACAATGGACCCCAGCAGATTTCCCATCCGACGTGGCATCTCCAAAATCACCCAATCCACCAAAATTTTCTCTCTCTCCTCCATAACGATAACCAGGTTACCAACCACCATCATCTGCTACTCCACTTGTTTTCCGCCATGGCTGCTTCTGCTACAGCTTCAGCTTCAGCTTCCTCTTCAACACTCTTCTCAACTTTCGAACCTCAATTTTCTCTCTCCTCCAACCGCACCACTCTCTCTCTTCCTCGCCGTCAATTCCGCCTCCCTAACCGCCCTCTCAGGATTTCCGCCGCCGTTTCTTCGCCGGCTCCGGTGGTTCCTTCTTCTCCCGCCGATTTTGTCTCCTCTCTTCTCTCCAAGGTTTGAATTATCAACTTCTCTGTTCTTCCCCTTTCTATTTTCTTTAGATTTGATCTTGTTTGTTGTGATTATTTGTTATTAAATTCGTAAAAATTGTGATCAAGTTATTGTAGTTCTTGTAATTGTGCTATTTGACGGGCGTTACATTGATATAACTTTTTTTTAGAATTTGTTATATACACCCGGGTCATTTGCTCATTTTTACTCATTTGTTGATTGAATGAGCAAATGACCCCGTGTACGTGTACGGTACACCCGGTGTACATAATAGGCTCTCTAACTTTTTGAATTGAATTATACTATTACCTTTTATTTAGGGTGTGTTTGTTCTGGGAATAATCAATTTGAACTCCACTTATATACTACCTCCGTTCATTACATGTATATGATGTAGAATTGTAGAGTTTTAGGCAAACCAACTATAAAATTACTGTAGGACTCTTATGAAATAAGAGAATGTTGGAATGCTTAAGTATATTTGAATTGATCCAACTATTTAGGCTAACATAATCACTAAGATGTACAAGCAATCATTAAGATACATATTAACGATAACAAAGAATAATATTAAAGATATGCGAAGATTAATACTACTTCATACGAAGTACTACAAATTACAAAGAATAATATGATATAATGAGATACAAATATCTCTTAAATTCTCCAATAATAACCGGTGCACAACTTTGAACATAAACACCTTTTATTCACGATAAGTTAAAGTTATAAATCTGGGCATTTGGGCTTGTTTGACATCATTTTTTGTTTTCAGTTTCCTTTTTTTTGAAAACCAAAAACCAAAAACAGGAAACAAGAAAAAGATGTTTCCACTTTTCTGTTGTCAGTTTTCAAAATTATTATAATTTTAATATGTTTAAATAATTTTTGATTCATTATGGGACATATATCCTATACTTTTAAAAAACAAAAAACCAAAAAACAGAAAACCACAACAATGCCAAACGAATCCAATCTCTAAATTTAGATTATTATCACCAAATTACCAACCATTTAAAGGAGTATTGACTATGTACGTATTAAGGGCACTATAAGTATTTCATCTAGACACCACTACCTTTCCCGGCTTATATAATAGAGATTACAATAGTAAAGTCGAATTGTCTATGTATAAGTGGTTACTGTTTTTTTGCTGTTTGATTGAGACATTTCAAATATGCTTCTTAAGGAATTATATATCAAACTTCATTCGATATTTGGTTTCTAATGGAAAAATCTAGAGAAGATATGAAGAGTATAGATGGAGAACGGAGAGGAGGACGAAGTTAAAGGATGGGGATAGATGTATGGGGCTTTTGCTTGTTTAGATCAGGATAAATATTTCCACTCTTGGAAAATAATGATCAACCTTTGCAATACTTATATGTAATGAGAATTTCAGGATAGAAAAGTTGATAGCTTTGCTTCTGAGCACACTTTAACTTTTCTTGTTTGACATTGCATACCCAATGAAACTCTTTACGCACTTGAAGATGAAGGCATGATGCGAAACACATTTCAAGTTATCCTAAATGGAACGTATACTGATAGTTTAGTATGATCAGAGATGCCTGTGATTTATTGTGAAGTGGCTAGACTGATGAGTGATCTTAGTTTAGGAGGGGTTCACAAGAAGATGCCTGAGATTTTCTAATGAGGTGAACAGACTGATCAGTGATCTCTATCTAGAGGGCGGCCACAGGAAATGTTAGATTCTGTAATAGAACTCAACTATGAAATTCGTATTCTGGTGACATTTTGTAACGAACCAGCATATTACAGATAATTCTAAAGAGATAATGATGATTTTGAATGGTAAAGCTGAAATTACAGAAAAATAAAGATAATTTTCAAGTACTTGAGGGACTTGACCCTCTCCCAAAGCTAACCAAATAAGAACTCATATATTCTGGGTACCTTTTTTTCTATGCCTGCTCTCCCTTATTACTAAACCCAATAACTGCTAGCAAAATACTCGTAATATAAAACTACCCTTGATGCCTCTCCCCTAGGCCGGTTCATTACACATTTTATGTATTGTGCTGATTTTGATTTTGCAAGATAATTTAAAAAATGTCTTCTAGACAGAATTTTGACTATATATACTGTAATTTAAAATACTGAAGCAGTTAAGCCCATATTGTTTTCGTCTTTTTCACATATATTTCCCTTTTATAGATTATATCTGAACATATATGGCATATCTGAACTTGTATTTTGTTGTAAGGTGAAGTTGGTAACCCTTATTTGAACTTGTTGGGCCTTTTCTGATTATATCTTTCCTGAATCTTATTTATTTGAGGTGAAAAGATCAAAGCCAGATTCTCACCAAATAATGCCGGTGATCTCGTCTCTGACATCCTCTCTAAGGTTTGAATTTGCTTCTATTCTTAGTTTCTTACCCTTTGCACCTAGATTTTTCCTTTTTGGTATGAAGAACTGCTATTGTACGTGTATGTAACTGGGTGGTTGAATTCATGGTGAGGTATGCACACAGTATAAGTGTGAAGGAAGAAAGAGGAGTAAGAGACAATGACTCAGTTATTGTATTTCTTGTAATTTTGCTCACTGATACCCCTGTTATTTTGATTTAAGGCTAACAGTTCAAAAGCAAATGATGATACAAGCCAAACCTTAGAGGTTTAAAGAAAAAATTATTTGAATTGAATACTTTTTCAATAAAAAGTATATAACTGTGATAATCCATTTTCAAACTTCATTTTCTCTTGTTTGGTTCCCTACTAGAAATATTGGTAAGGAAGAATGTAGATGCAAAGGGAGGAGAGGAGGAGGATTTGGTAAGGAATGGGGAGTAAAATGTGTTGTATTATCTTCCTTCTTCAATAAATATCCAATAATCTCCTCTATATATGAAGCAAACAGACTGAAAACTTAGTGGAGGCTGGATGATGTACTTCGTACCTTGTCTGAGGTCACTATGATAGTTTGGTGGTAGTAATTCTTTATTTGCTTTTCCTTCAGGTCACTGAAACAGATCGAGGTGTTTTATTAACAAAAGAAGAGCAAAAGGAAGTTGGTGAAATTGCTGAAGAACTTCAGAAATATTGTGTTAATGCCCCAGTAAAATGTCCACTCATTTTTGGAGGTAAATACATTTAAGAGTCTCTAGCACCCAGGTGATAGTATTGTCTTTCGCGACACAGAAATTTTAGATTTGTATTTGGTCTTTTCAGCATCCTATGATAGTCGATTACTTTGTTTTGGATCTGCTATTGATGTTCCAGTCTAATTGTTGAAATTTGAAAAGATGTTCAATGACAAGTTTAACTGGGATTTTGGGAAAAAGTGGTAGAATTATGCTCGTCAGTTGTTACTTTGTAGCTGTAGAACTAGAGAATGTTTGAGCTTGAGAGACAGATATTGAATATTTTTATCAAATTCACTCAAAACAAATGTAGTTTTTTTTTTTTTTTTTTGTAAAATAGCATGCAGAAGCAAAAGATATCCTCCTAACCTCAAGATTTAGTGTGGTACTGCTGTGGGATAGGGTAACTAATGTAGCTTTGCTTTTGGGGCTTTCAAGTGTTGCTTCTTGCTTGATTTCGAGATTCAAAGTAATTGTGCTAATATGTACGTTAATAGAAGTTTCAGATTAAAGACAACTTGCTCGTGAACATTTTACTAATTATTTCATTTCATGTACATAGAAGATATGTAGTTCCCTTAAAAAAAGAAAAGGAAAAATAAAAAGGTACGTAGTTCAGTTCACTTTTGAAGTGCAATCACATTCTGTTCTCGTGGCATAACAGGCACTAATGTCTCTAAGTTGCGCTGCATACTTATAAACGGTTGATGGATACTTTCATTTACAATTAACTGTGTGTTTGACCTGTTTGTAAGGAATTTTAAAAAGAAAAGAAGGGTAGGGAGAGGAGAGAAACTATTCTTTTCATCTAGATATAACTAAAAATTTGGGAAAGGAAGGAAAAGGGAGTTTTTCCCTTCCAAATCTACCTAAATTGAGAGGTATTTGTTGGAAGAATGGTCTATTCCCTCTACTTCTTCAACCCAACCTAACTATGTGAACATGAGATGCTGTTTGCCTCACTCTTCCTCCTGCCCCCTAACTACGCCCCTATCTCCAAATCCCCTCTATCCAAACACGATATTAATCTAGTTTATTATATGCTTCTAGTGAATGACTGATTGTTGGCATGAGAAGTCTAATAGGTAACATTATTATGTTGCAGAGTGGGATGTGGTTTACTGTTCAAATCCAACTTCACCTGGTGGTGGCTACCGGAGTGCAATAGGACGTCTTGTGTTTAAGACAAACGAAATGATTCAAGTTATTGAAGCTCCTGATACTGTCAGGAACAAAGTATCTTTTTCTGCTTTTGGTTTCCTTGATGGTGAGGTATCTTTGAAAGGTAAGCCTGGATTAAGCAATCAATACTTGATCATGTGTTTATAAACTACTGTAATACTTTATTGATAGTAGTTAGTTTCCAGTCCAAATTCCAAGATTCCCAACCATGTATGCAATTTGGTATGAGGCATCAATATCTCAAATTTTTGTCCTGAATCTTGATTCTATAGTTTAATTCTATAGATTCTCATGCCTAATTGCCAAAATTATTATTTTTACAGGTAAGCTGATAGCTTTGGATGAGAGTTGGATTCAGGTTATATTCGAGGCACCTGAATTGAAGGTAGGAGGACTTGAATTTCAGTATGGTGGACAGAGTGAGGTCAAGCTGCAGATTACTTATGTAGATAAGAAAGTCAGGTTGGGGAAAGGCTCTAGAGGATCATTGTTTGTTTTCCAAAGACGTTAATGAATTATGATATTATGTATATTCATCCTCGTTTACCAATTATACACAACTGCCAAGAAGTCTTGTACTACAATCTGGGTTGATTCTTTCGTCATATATGTGCGAATCAACGACCCTGCAAACTCCGGTAGTCATTTCTGATTCACAATTCCGTTTTGACCGTAAACAACCAGCATGCATATGTTCATCAACTCATCAAGGGATGCTGACTGTTATCATAAACCAAGCTAGTACAAACGGTAGCTATTGTATTTGTATCATATTTGAACAATCTGGATTTTAGTTTCAGCTGAGGAATGTATGTTTAGCAGGTTTGTGAAATTTGAAACTATTAAGAAAGTTTCAGCTTATATGAAATTGCCAATTGCCAACCAAACAAGAGTACATGAATCTACTTCCTATATATAATCAAAATTCAAATCTTCATGGTTGTAAAATGCTACAGTAGTAGTAAGACGAAGGACCCTACTCTCGGAGATTTTGTAGTTGGTGCAACTCGAACTTGTGACCTCAATTTACCATGATAAGTTTCCTACCAACTTCACCAATCTAATGCTCCGTTCTTTGTATTTGTATCTGTAGTGTAACACTTGATCGTATATTCGTATGAACCACAATTTAAATACTCGTACTACGGAGTACCTAGATATGGAATGGATATTTCTGGAAACTATTGTTTTTGGACAATTCTGGAAACTACTGGTTACTTCACAAGAGCTCTCCTGATTTCTCTCTATTTCTTTCCTTCTCAACAACACCTCCTATTCATTACTCTCTCTCTAAACTTTGTTCTGCTTCTCCATCAATTTTCAAACATCATCTGCGATTATCATTGCGTCCTTCTGCAATTTTCTTCTTAAGGTACGTGCAATTTACATCATTATAATCGTTGGTTAAGCTTTAATTTTCAATTGCAGCTTGAATTTGAAGCCTTTAAATTTCTCCTTGATTCTTTTTCGCGCAATTTCTTTTGATTTTTGAAAATTAGCAAAATATTTTGTATTAGTATAATCAGTTACACCATATCACGAGTTTGTTTGATGATTTGTTGTGAATTTTGGAATTTTTTGCTTTAATTGCAGTCCTAGGGTTTGGCGCTTAATTGATTTTTTTTAAATTATTTCAATGAAATTATTAGGATGAATTGGCTTCCTGTAGATTGTTTGAATTTGGAGACGATTGAATTTTGTGTACAAATGTAGGCGTTAGAGAGAGAAATTGTGTGCTCGTTCATGATTGGTGATATAATATGGTTGTGGAATCGATGTTGTTGAATACTGAATTTGGAATTATCATGCTAATAATAGCTAGGATTTCCAGTTTTGAAAGACTAGTGAGATTGAAGGAATAGAAAATCAACGACTGAATAATTCTTCCTGAGAAAATATAGTTGTAGGGTTTTTGAATGATTGTATGATTTGATTGTGAAGATGGCGTCGTTGGTTGCTGATTTTGGACCTCAAGAAACACTACTGTGAGCTCAAGGGAGGAGAAAATTAACAAAGAGTGAAATTAATTCATTTGATTTAAATTTAGCGTTGGAGTTCTAATATAGTTTTGACTTGTGGAGTTGTGGATCTGAGCTAGGCCTTAAAAATATCCAGATCTTCTTTTGCATTATATAAGACACCTCTCATATCTCATCTGTTGTCCCGCCTCATTTTGATTCCCAGGTATTGATGCGGTGAAATAAGAAAACTCGTGATAGCTACAAATAAGATAGTTGTGAAATAGACAAACAATAACTTTACAACGCCAATGAAGTTTTTGCCAAAATTTCATTGACGCTATAGGTTTTAGGATTTAGACTTCTTGGGCATGCTTTGTAGCTTATTAACTTCTAACTGATCTACCAATTAAACTCTAGGTTCAGATATAATTTCCTGAAAATAATTCTTTGGCTTGGGAAAATAGATTTCATATCATTTGTTGGACAAACTGATCATATTGTTTTGAACTGCTAATTAGGTTGACAGTCTTAGCTATGCAGCGTTTTAAGTTTAAAACCCACTTGTTGGGTTAACAGATTTAAGCTTTTAGTGTTTTTAACTTTTAAGCTCTGCTTGTATAGTGTATTATGATGTAGTGGACACAAACAAAATTTTGGTTTGGCTATACTAAGCCTATGTGGATTGTATTTTTAAAATTCATGCATATTGTTATTAATATATTAAACAAAAGTGTAAGCAAGGAGAAGGACAATGCTTATATCCTATGCTCTAGAGCTTGAAAAAAAAAAATTTAAATAGTAAAATATGGGATTATTGGGATAATGATTAAAGAAAATTGCATATTAGCACATGATAAAAGAAAATTAAAAGAGTGCAGAGGATAGTAATAGTTATGTGAATAGCTCAATGTGATCAGGATTAAGTATGAATTGAACTATTTTCACTTTGATCATATTTGAAAGGAGACAATATCTCCATATCCTATAAAGTCATTTACCATATTGGTTTTTGCTTATGGATCTTCTGATTCCGGGAGAGGGGGATTATGATTGATGGGATCAATATCAAACATGCTTTCAATTTTCTTAAAAACCAATGTTGAGACTGAATCTCTTCTAATGGAATGTGTAGGATGTCGGAATATGAAAATGTTATCGCTGGAAAATTGAGGTTAAAGGGAAAAGCACTTGACGTGAAAGCAGGTGGAATTGCAAAGAAAAAGAAACACAGAAAGAACATTGAACGGTTTATAACTGAAAAAACTGCTACAGGTAATATTTGTGTTACCATAATTTCCCAGCCCCCCCCTTCTATTTCACTTTACGTCTTTACTTAGTATCTTTTTCTTTTGATGGATATTTTCCTTTCACCTTCGCTTCTGTCTTTTTCTGTTGATCTGCATACAAGGTGCCACATTTAGTTGCTTATATCTGCCATTTAAAAAGAAAAGGCCAAGATTTTATGAGAATACCTGCCTTGCACTCTTGGCTCTTGGAGAGGGTTGTGATTTGGATTTTGCTTCAGTGTCATTAGAGCATAGAGCCCATTGACTATTTGCCTATATCCATTTAAGCATGCAAGAGATAGAAGTAGGCCAAGTATGCAATCTTGTTGCTGAATTATGGCATATTTATGTAAATTTGAGCGACTCCTAAGCAATTCTACCCAGCATCCTTGTCTCACACAGGAGCAATTCAGAGTTCTATGGTGGTGATGGTCCCATTAACAATTAATTTAATAATAATAGCAATTATGAGTGTTTACATAATGATGAATCACTGATTTTAACTCACAGAAAAATTTGTAAATGAACAATAATCATCTCGCAGCCTTTGATTAAAAGAGAGGGAAATTTTAACGTGTAGTGCAACATTTCACCTTTTTGAAACAATAACACTTTTTTATAACTTCTAATTTTGAGAATTTTGGTATGATGCGCTTTATATTGTGCATTGGTATGTTTGAACTCTTTTATGACCCAAGATGCTAATATATATATTTATGATTGTCAAGTATACATTGTTCTTTTACTTCTAAATCATTCTTGTCTTAATAGGATTGAAGTGAAGCTTGAAGAAAGAGGAATTGCAGATCTAGGATCTAAATACACCATACCTCACATTGATGTATACTACTCACCACCAAATCTCCTTGTCTACTTGTCTAGTGTTGTTTCAATGCTATGTGACTTTGCCAACTCACGTATGTTATACCTATCTATCAATTATGTTGCAAGCCTGCAACTCAATATCAAACGCGTATCCTCTCTATGAATGCTTACAAATTGGTGCCTCCATTTCTTCTTTTTTCCTTGATTCCTTGGAAACCTATTCTGCATTGGTTGTCTATCTAATGGAAATATGGGATATCAGTTACCTACTTACCTTAATCACCAGTTATATGACTGCCTATATTTCTCTATCTTCCAAAAATCCACTGCATTGATTTGTTTCTTGGAACAACTTGTTAGGTTTGCATGTATTTCAATTATTGTTTCATCTCTTTGGATTTATCATTAACTATTCCTAAGTTAGGTCAACTATGATTGTTGTAAAACTGTTTACTTTGTTCGTGTTAATGTTTGTGTAGTTTCAATATTTAGATATACTTGGCTTCTTTTAACATTGTGACTCTAGACATGATACCATATCTTGGTCAAAGAACTGAAAACATTTCTCAAGTTCTGTATTCTCACTCTGCCCTTGTTCCTTTTTGCCTTATACTATGTATCAGTACCATATGGTTTGTCCAGTGTCTTTACTGTTTTTATAGAGAATTTGTCTTGGAGTGTTTTCCAGTCGTATGAACCTCTGGCCGATATTTCTATTCTGGCGAGGATTAAAATTCAGAACTAAGTTTCAATTGTTAATATTTGTCTCTAAATTTGGTTGGTACCATGAAGTTTTGCATTGGCTGGGTGTATTGATATAGAGTCTAGATTTTCTAAGAGTTTTGCTCTTGGTCAGCCAAAGAAATGATGTATCAGGAGTTGGGTCTTAATTTTCTCAATTTTGTTGTTGCATAATAAGTTATCTTTAGTGTAAAAGTTAAATTGAATGGATTCCTTAGTCCTGTTTTGTTTTGTTGTATTTTAGTGTGTAGGTGGGTGGGCAGGCAGGTGATGTCCTTATAAAGAAGCATTAAGAATATCAGGTACAATAGGATAAGGATTGACAAGTGTCTAAATTCACATTTTTTGTCTTGGGGGGGGGGGGTGGACTGTGGCTAATGCTAGCCTCAGAAAGCCCTTTTCAAGATTAGATTGTACCTTTAATAATCATGTTTTACTTTAATAACTGTGTTGCTGATAAAAGTTGTGCAGCTGGTGCGAGTTCCGACCGAAAATGTCAATCGAGACAACTAACTTAAAATTTTCTGCTTAGAACTTTGATTCTATAAACCCTTAACATGTTTCCTAATTTGGTAATGAAATTAGGAATGCAGTACATATCTACCTGTTATTTGATGTGCCTTGATGTCTGTGGTCTACTATTGTGTTCTTTTGACTGGATTAGCATCACTGTTATCGCTGTGTTTGCATAAATGGGCTGAAGCTGGAAACAAATGGTATTGTTGACAGATCTTGTGGAGATAAATACTGAGAAAAATGTGGACGGTGGGAACGAAGTGTCTGCTAACTATGATGAAAGGCTCACACCAGCTGAGAGACGATTCCTAGAGCAGTGGAAGCACCTTGAAGTAAGACGGCTGCTCAAGAGTGCTAACGAATCACACCGTGATCGGGTTCAAAGATTTAACCAGTACCTGGCAAATCTGAGTGACCACTATGACATTCCAAAAGTGGGACCTGGTTAATTTTTGTATCAATTAACATTGTTCGACTTCTACTAGGTGATTATTGGATTTAGGATTCTGATTGATTAAGATTTTATGACAGACCTGAAAATTCTGCTACATTATGCAGCTGGGGTTGTGTGATTATGCCCAGAATCAAATCCAGATTATATGAATCAGCAGACATGTTTGAGAATTGTAGCCATTTGTTGCTGGATTTATGATAATTGTTAATATCCTTGTTAATTTATGCCATATCTCTTCCCTTATCAGATTTTGCTTAAAATTCCGCGACTGCAGGCAGATTTTCTGCAGCCATCAGATGAGGAAAATGTTAACCGCTAAATTGACCATTTGCTTCCATTTCTTGAATTTTCATCCAGGAAACTAATTCTAGTCAACATGTCATAAGCAATACAACCAGATTGCCCACATTGGGAAGATACGAAAATGAGTCCGACTAATTTTTTAACAGTTGGGCAACTAAAAACAACAAACATATCTTTTATCCGTATAAATCCGATAAAACTTTAGCACAAAATTCAAATGATACTCTAAGTGGAAATACAGTAAACAAAAATTCAGATGTTAATTTTCACTGAAGATCCCGTGATTCAAATTATAGATTTATAGCAGTAACAATTACAGCTCTAACAAAACATCATGTTAATTTTCACTGTACTTTTATTCATATCTGAAGAAAAGGAGAAATTAGATCTCGTGATTCAAATTAGAACAGTAACAAATACAGCTTCAACATTTATAGCATTGCACCAGAAAAATAATTTAATATTTATATCAGAAGGTCTGAACACATGCAGCTGATAACAAAGAAGACAGTATATGAACAATAATTGTTACTATTAATCATATTACGTGCAATTTAAAGACGGCCACATGTTATCATCATTTATTCATTTTCATGAACTTTCTCTTTTCCTTCCTATTGCTAAAATACAAATATGTACGAATTATAATTTATTTTAAGTTTTTAACCAATTATATTTATGACTTTTTATTTAAGTAAATTGATTATCAATGTATTACTTGCAATCACGTAAATATATTAGTTGTTCACCATGACTACCATGTATTTTCCGGCCGGCTTTGATTAATTTTTGCTATATCTTCATTAGGTTACATTATGATCTTATTGAAGAATATCCTGAATTTCATTATCAACTACGGCGAATATACATAATTTCTAATAAGATTACGATGAACTATGGTGTAAATTATACATGTAGAGGTGACCAAGTACGCTCTTATACTAATTGATATACATTATCTATTCATTTAATTAGTTTACACTCGAATTTGTCAAAGTCTTGGTTAGTGCCGGCAATTAATTTATATCTAGAAGGCAGAAAACTTCAAGATTTGAAGTAGTTAGATCAATAATTTGTGGCATTATTATGTTTTTGTCCTAGTAAATCCATTTAATTAATTCAAGAAGATTGGTTAATCAAGAAATTACAAGAACACATATTTTTCTCCCCTTTTTTTTTTTCCTAGTATTTTGGTGTAAGACCATTTGGAGACAATGGCAGACAAATCAAATTAGATCACCTGAAATTATTAATTAATAATATAATGGTTTCTCGAATATATTTCCAATCTTTTTGGAAATTGAAATTTTTTTTCTGAATTTTGGGGACTTATCAAAAAATTTCGGTTTTCCTTTTTGGGAGTCAGTGAGTGTCACATATTGTTTTAATAGAAATTTATCATAAGAGTTAGGCCTGTAAGGTATCCAAAGTGAATACCTAAAATTAAATTATACTATATGCTTTTTTTGAGGAAAATTTATACTACTCCGTATATGCTTTAATTTCTTCATCATTATTTTTCTTTCAATTCTTATAAAGTGTGAAAGTTTTGTAAGACTTGGGAAAATATAGAATAGTTCAGAAGAACATGGGAAAGAATAAATCTTGTTTGCTCTTAAAATAGTTATAGTAGTACGAGTAATAATTTTGTTCATATTGTTAAATGGTCAATAAGATACCGAATAATACAATTTTAAGTGACATTGTCTCACACTAGTTTGTCACCTCTCTTACGAAAAGGCGAGTTTGTCATATGATCTAATAGTAATATGTTTGTCACCTCTCTTACGAAAAGGCGAGTTTGTCATATGATCTAATAGTAATATGTTATAACATCGTTCAATTATAGATTTTACAACTATCATAAATTCATAATCTTTATATTGCTATTTTTAACTTGGTTTTATTCTTATGTGAGCACCAATTCATTAACGCATATGATATATTCCATTATTAGAGACAAAAACGTCAAAATAGAAAGAACATATAGATACAAAGCTTAAGTACTCTATCAAAACCGAAGATGCTTATTATATGATACACCCGAGAACACAGTCGATGTATAAGCTCGCTCATAGAGTACAATTTATTCACCTTAGTACTTTAACTAGCTTAAAAAATTAAGGATATGAACGTTGCAAATTTGAAGAGGGGGGGCATCATCCGTACTTGAAGGACATTTAAAGTGATTTTACTCGATTGTAAAATAAAAGCAATGGGGCAGACAACATAAATTTTGTAACACGAGCCAACATTGAAAGAAATAATGTAAGGGAGTTGACAGATATCATCAATAATAGTAATAATACTTACATTATTAATTCATATCAACAACAAAATAAACTACTAATAATGAAAATAAAACTATACTTTATAATTGTACAAAAATTTTATAGCTGTCAATCAAGATTGAAGAATCAACTTGTATATTATGTATATTTGCTGTATGTATAATTATAATTTACTGTATTTATGTATATGTATGTGTATGTAATTAACACAAATGAGCACAAAAGTAAAATTAAATGAATCTAACAAAGTACATATTATTACTAAAAAAAAAAAAAAAAAAAACAAACAAACGTATAATTTAAAGAATCTGTCAAGTTTTTTTTTGAACTTCCTGACATCGTTGGAAGGAATTGTTATGACAAAATGTGATGAATGATGAACCCCCAAGAAATAATTAATGAACATATTATAACATATTACAAAATATGATATGATGATAATGGGGTGGTGTTGTTAATTAGTAGCCTGGGAAGATTGGAGGTGGTGGTGATCCGTATGAAACACCGTAAACTGGTGGCATTCGTGTTTCGCCGTGTGATGGTGGGGGTGATTGTTCTGATGGACATTTTCCTTTTGGTGGTGGAGATTGATTATGGTTGTGTTCTGGTGTTGATGGTGTGTATGACGGCGTTGGTGAATATGTAGGAGTGTTTGATGGTGGACTGTATGACGGTGTTGGTGAATATGTAGGGGTACTTGATGGTGGATTCCGTGAAGGGATGGTTGATGGTGGACTATATGACGGCGATGGTGAATAAGTAGGGGTGCTTGATGGTGGACTATATGAAGGGGTGGTTGATGGTGGAGTGTATGACGGCGAAGGTGAATAGGTAGGGGTGGTAGATGGTGGAGTGTAAGACGGCGATGGTGAATATGTAGGGTACTTGATGGTGGACTCTGTGAAGGGGTGGTTGATGGTGGAGTGTATGACGGCGAAGGTGAATAAGTAGGGGTGGTTGATGGTGGAGTGTAAGACGGCGATGGTGAATAAGTAGGGGTATTTGATGGAGGACTATATGAAGGGGTTGTTGATGGTGGAGTGTATGATGGTGAATATGAAGGGGTGGTTGATGGTGGTGTGTAAGACGGCGAAGGTGAGTATGAAGGACTATTGTATCCTACAGGAGGGGGTGTTGAGTAAGCAGGGGAAGGGGTGTACCCTGAGGCGGGTGGTGGGGGTGGGGGTAATGATGATGGTGGATAACTCGATGGTGAAGGAGTGTTGTAAGACGGTGTTGATGGTGGTGGAGGTGAGGAGTAGTAGTAATCAGGTGAAGGAGTGTAAGTTGGTGGTGTAGGCTGTTGGTATGATGGTGATGGTGTGTACGACGGAGACGGTGAGTATGATCCTGACGAGGCTCCACCAAAAGAAGTTGGTGGTGGTGTGTACGAAGGCGACGGTGTGTAAGACGGCGATGGTGAGTAGCTAGGAGTGTAAGGTGGTGGTGAATAGGTAGGAGTATATGATGGCGAAGGCGTATACACAGGCTTCTTAATACAACCAAAGGAGTAACAATCAACGGGTGTAGCCAAAGGTGAGGCACATTCCTCAGCGGACCTTTGGTTGGCCTCACCAATGATACAGTTTTGTGATCCATCGATAACCTTACCGGCCCCGGCCAAGGCGGTACACGAGGGTGCATCGCCAGAGAAGTAATTATGTGAGTATGTAAAGTTTTGGAGGTTTGGAAGCAAGCAAATAGCTTCTGGGATAACCCCAGTAAATTGATTGTAACCCACATCTAATTGCTCCACACTAGACATTCCATTAATGGTAAGTGGCAATGACCCGGATAAGTTGTTGTAACTCACATCGAATACCGTTACATGTTTGAGGTTACCAATTTCTTCGGGTAAACATCCTGAGAGATTATCATTAGACATTATAATCTCATTTAAGGTGTACCCCATGTCACCAATGCTAGAGGGAATGCACCCTCCTAGCTCGTTGTTAGCCATGACCAAAACCGATACCGGGGAATTACCCATGTTTTTCGGGATCCCATATTTGAACCGGTTGTTGTTGATGAAGAGGGCGTCGAGTGGCTTGTCGAAGATGGCGGGTGGGATCGGCCCCTCGAAGTCGTTGAACCGGATGTCTAAATACTTCAATGAGGGTAAATTGAGGAGGGCCGGGGGGAATTTACCCACGAAACGGTTGTTACTTATATCAAGCTCGAATAGTAGTGACATTGAGCAAAATGATTTTGGGACGGTCCCACAAAACCGGTTAGAGTTGATGTGGAACACGGCGAGATCGGATAATAATCCGAGCTCGTCGGGAAGATACCCGGCTATGTCAGCGTGGTTAAGGTCCACGCTGGCAACAACCCGGGTTGGGGTGTTATCATAAGTACTACCATAATACGAGTCAGAAGTCGTATTAGGTAGTATTGCACAAAAGACACCATTATACGAACACACATCAGGACCCTCCCAATTTCCAGTGAAATTGGAGGGGTCCGATAACATAGCGTTTTTCCACGCTTGGAGAGCAATGTAGGCTTTACGAAGGTGATCATTCTCAAACTGAACACTAGGATCAACCGTTACATTTTCGGGACCGTTTGACGAGTCCATCGGGTTGTAGTAGCCGTCGTCGCTGCCATCAGCGATCGACGAATGTACGAAAGAGAAAATGAAGAGGGAAATCAATAAGAGGACAATGTGTGGAGATGGAGAAGGAGCCATCTTGGGGTGGTGTAAGAGAGAGAAGAAAGAAAGCACAATTTTTGAAAGTTTAGAAATGAATCTTGGTGTTGATATATGGTGTTACTTTGTTGGGTATTTGTTGACGTAATATAAAATAATGTTTTACTGGACTACCAGTTAGTTTTAATTATTTTTATATCAATTTAAAGCTAATATTTATTGGGCTGCTGGCCTGACATAGACATTTAATTTTTGTACTGTTAGACTATTTCCCATTATTAGTACTTTATTATTCAAATAATTTTTGTAAATATAATATAATTACAAAAATTAGGAACAAAATTAAGGGAAATTAAAAGAGTTGGTGAGCTGTGATTGGGAGAAAATACATTGGATGTCTGTGTGTTGATTGAATGTTAAGTTAGTGAAATCCTCGTCTTTCAAAAAAAAATAAAAATAATAAACAAAAAATATAATAATTAAAATAATTAATTTTACCAAAAAAATAAAAATAAAGATAGTTAGCGTGTGGGGCCATACTCGGAGATTGCAGGCAGCGGCTAATTTTTAATTTTTTATATTTTGTGAAATTTATTTGGTTTGAAAAAAAAAAATAAAATTGTTGTTTAGGGTTTGGTTGGTAAGAGGTTAAAAAACAAAGAGATAGGAAGATATAATAATAATAATGGAGACCATGGCTTAGCTGTGACCATTTTGAATGGCGGATCCACCACCGAATAACCTAGTTTACTTGCACCGAAAATCGTGCCTTTTTTATTTTAATAAAGACCGTGTATAAGTGTTTAGACTAGTTTTATTCGCCTTTGTCTAAATTTATTTTATTTTAACATACCGAGCATTATTTTGAAATAAGCTACAAAGTTTATTTGATTTAATCCTCACTTTGAATGAACTTATTTAAATCTATTTTTATCTAGTTTTATCTACAACTTTTTTTTACTAGTTTGCAAATCAATACGGTCAAAAAAGACTACTCCGTATTATATTATTTAAATTATTAAATTGATACTAAGGGTCTGTTCATATTTACTTAATTTCAGTTCAGCTTTAATCTGTTCAGTTCAGTTCAACTCCTAATTTCTCTCTCTCGATCATAAAATATTCATTTCAATTCAGTTCAACTCAGCTCAGTAAATGAAAATCGGCCCTAAATTGTACATGATAAAATCACTTTTTTTTTATCAACATAAAATTATTTTTAAGCTAGCTTGATTTGAGTAATGAAAAATTATTAATAAACACGATACACATTTTTAAGTTTTAAAGTTGCATTGCATTACTAAAAGCATTGATATGAGGCGTCTACACAAAAATTCAAATTAATAGGCAATAATTTTAATTGATGCCATTAATAATATCCAATTCTTTTACCCTATATTTTTTTTAAAAAAAAAAATTGCTAATTTGATATATATGAGCAATAATAAGCCTTTGGTTATACCTAATTCTAAATGTATGGAATCAATGTATCCAAATATATGTATGGTAGAAATTCACATTATTCTTGACTACCAAACATGACGCAAGTGCTATATTCCCAATATTAAGATGGTTCTATAGTACATCAAAAATAAATAATAATACTTATTTGGGGTATAGTTGATGAATTTTCACCATTTACAGTTAACAAACAAAAAACATCAAATAATGAGAGAAATGTAGATTACATTATTTGAACCAACATATTCTCACATTTTTAAAAGTATCACAAACTTTTGTCATTTGTTTATACAAATCAAGTACTTTAAGAATCATTAGATGTTTTTAAAAAAATGTTGAATATAAATTTTTTAATCAAGTTTGGGCTAACCTGTCTATTGAGTGGATTGTAGATCAAATTCAAATCTAAACTCATAAAAATGTACAAAATTTGGTCTACAAAATCGATGCTCATTTACTACTACCTCAAAGAGTAAAGATATTTCCTTATGCACATCTTCTTTTAACCTTTTTTACTTCCTAATTTACTGGTCGGACTATTTCTTTAGCCACATGTAGTTTTACTTTGACACTATTTATATGTCAACATTCATTACATTTTTATTATACTAATATGTAAAAGTCAAATATTAATCATTGTGTAAGATGTTATCTAATCAATATCAATGTAAATTTCAAATATTTTTTTTTTTTGGTCAAAAGTCAAACTTATAGATTGACACGTACATCATCCAAACTATTTCATATATATAGGAACGGAGGGAGTATCATTATTAATACTTTTCTCTTAACCTTTGAGGGTCTGTTCTCATTGACTGAACTCAGCTGAACTGAAAAGAACTGAACTGAGCTGAGATGAACTGAACTGAACTGAATATTTTATAAGAGAAGGAAATTAGGAGTTAAACTGAACTGAATTGAGCTGAACTGAACTGAATTGAGCTGAATTTCAACGTAAGAGAACAAACCCTAAGTGAAGGGCCAGAAAATGAAATCATACGCTGATCTCTATTGTAGAGGCTTTTTTTTTTAAAAAAAAAAGCATAATAAACCTCAAAAGATAAATAAATGATGACCCTTAGCTTCATCAATCAGCGCAAGACATGCTACACATGTCTTATGTTTGACTGTTCAATATTATCCTAACTATAAACTTAACTATATTTCAACTTGATAGTAAAATCAAATAAATTCATACAAAGTATACTACGTAAAAGAAATAAATTAAAATTTGTCCTTTATTATGTTGGTATAAGTTGTAAAGAACTAATCTTTTGTTTTTTTATGTTCACATGATGATCATAACTTTAAGAGAGAGAAGGAAACTTAATTGGTAGCCATGTCTTAATAGACGGCAGACACTAATAATACTTGCTGGCACGTCGAGTAAGATTCGAAGTGGGTCCCTTTTTTTTACTAAATTCATTACATTACAAAATATCATCGACAATTTGGTACAATTTATTAAAACTTGTATTTAATCACGGCTTGATATATAATACTACTTCCCAATTTGAAGTTAACACAAATTTCGTAAATAAATTGTACACTATATAATATTTGTAGAGTAAGGGTCTGTTCTGATTTACTAAACTGAGCTGAATTGAACTGAAAATTTATGAGAGAAAGAAATTAAGAAATGAACTGAACTAAAAATAAGGTGAAGAGAATAGGTCATAATTTATTTTATAACATGAAGTGTTGTTTTGAGTCAATTAATTACCTTTTAATTATGTCATTTATGTGTAAAATTTAATAGTCAAACTCTTAAAAGAGTGGATTCATCATGATAATTTGAATAATAATTGCTAATATTACAAAAGAGTAACTTAGAATAGATGTATAATAAAGTTATTATAGATTGAGTCAATTCACAATCATCAACTACTAGATGTATAATTACATGTAATATGTTAACTTTCAAAGGAAACTTGTTACATTTGCATTTTTAAAACCATTTCTTCGATGAGTAGAAGGATTCTATTAGGCTAAATAACAATCAACCTAGTGCTTGAGGAGTAATGGAGAAGGTAAAATCTCCTACTCCTAAATATGCATATGTACTCCGTATATATATATAAGACTCAAATGTGTAATTTTATGAAACTTCTATGGTATTCATCCTAAATATTTTTTCTTATTTTTAAAATTTATTTTTTATTTTTTATTTTTTTTTATATTTTCAATTAATTTGTGAATTATTTTTTCAATTCCAACCGTAATAAAAATTAAATTTGTAAATTAATATTGAAAATATTTTTAAAATTCAAAAAATATTTCAAAATTGATAAATGAATTTATAAAATTAGATAAATGGTTTATTTTGACATTTAAAAAAAATCAGCCAATAAAATTTAGTATAAAATGATGACTACCATATAGAATAATCCGTAATTTTAATAAAGTGGTGAATCGATCAATTTAAAACAATTGTATTTCCTCCGTTCTTTTTTACTTGACCTGATTTGACTTTTACACTATTCACCACCCCTCATTTGACCGTGTTTTGTGAATAATATGTAAGGAAAAACATATTCATGTTGGATCATTTTGAATTCATCTCAATAAGAACTATCATAATATATAACTTTTATATTTTTTAATTATGGAGAATTAAAGTTATTGACCGTTAAAGTTTTGCATTAGCAAGCGTGATAAAAAAAACAGGTTAAGTAAAAAAGAACAGAGAAAGTAACTAATAAGGAGTTTACTCATAAAACTACATCATATGCTTAATCATAAGAGATTAGGACAATGCGACAACTTTAAACTGAACAAAAGTAATTTTAAATTTAGTTCGTTGGTGTATTATTTAAGTAAGATGGTATGAGGATATAGAAAAGGGGATTGGAATGGAATAGGTCAACAGGAAAGACGTGTTGTCAGAAAGACTTTAAAGTATCGTCAACAACCAAAAAAAATAAAGTATGATGAACAACCAGAATCAATCAACCATGCAGATTGAAGTAGAGTATTATAATTTATTTATTTTTTTTTTTAAAAAAAAGGAAAAGAAAAAAAAAAGAAAAAGAAAAAGAAAAGTAGAGTATAATAATGGTCCGTAAAAGAGAAAGTGGTACTATAAATTATTTTACTGTTTGCGGCAGAACGTCTAATGCAATGCAATGAATTGCATTTCATCATAAACGAGGATAAGAAGAAAGGACTATATATAAATTCGAGTCAATAAATTCTTAGGGACAACCATGCACATATATTTATATTTATATGTGTATGTATCATGTAATTTATTAATTAGTTTAGATTTACCTATTTTGATGATTGAAAGTTAATTTTGCTATGGTTGATTCATTGTTGTATCAATTAATTATGAGTAGTCATTGGTAGTTAATCTATTGTTATGAGTACTCGGTAGTTAAGTTGTTACGTACCTTCTTTCTAGAATCAACATAATGTTATCATTTGGAGTAGATTTTATTGAAATTTTTTATGTGGAGGCGGATGCACGATACTCCGTGCATCTTTTTTTTTAAAAAAAAACGAAATGAACATATAGTTGTTCAGTAAAGAATATATAGGGTTTGTTCTGATTGACTGAATTGAGCTGAATTGAACTGAAGTTAGTTGAACTGAACTGAATATTTTATGAGAGAAGGAAATTAAGATAAGAAATGAATTGAACTGAACTGCACTTATTAGAGCTAAATTGAACTGAACTGAAAATAAGCTGAAGAAAACAAGCCCATAATCGTTTAGTAGTAAAGAACTGGACATCAAAGATTTGGAATGGTCATAAGAATCTATAAATAGCAATGATATTATCCTATCTTAATATTAGACTAGTTATGTTGTCATTAAAATATTTTCCTCCAAACTTATAAATAATGTCATCATTTTAAAATGTTTATCTTATTCTGTTAAAAAAATTGTAAACTATATTATTGTTAGTATCAAACACTGAAATCGATCTATTCTCTCTAATAATAATAATTTAAATTTTTTTCAAGGTGATTGACGCGAGCGACGCACACGCTACATCTAGCCATTTCAGAACGCTTTTTAAGTGCATCATCTTCTACACACTATTGTTAAGAGATTTTTTTATAGAAAAAAATAATACAATAATTAATAATAATAACATTAATGCAGGCAAATAAATTGAAAACAATTTAAAGAGTATAATAGTCCAAACACTATTCATAAGAGATAAATCATTAAATCACACAAAAGAATAGCTTAGAGGTAATTAACATAATATTAATAGGGGTAACTAGGTGAACAAACATTTTTAAGGACTAGTCGTTGGAGCACGCGTTACGCGCGTGCCCCCTCGACGGTTCGATAAGTAATTTTCGCGAATCTGTATGGTCCATGTAGTATTCGTTATTTAAAATTCACATGTAGCAACGTGAATATAGAAAAGATTAAGCCTCTATTTCAAAGATTCGTGTAAGGAGTCTTCATATGGTTATATGACTTGTTAGGGAATAAATTATAACATGAGTTATATGTGGTTATCGATAAGGGAAAATTACCTCAATCACTACAGCAAGACTGATATCACAAGTCTAGATATGACCTTACAATGCAATAACCATGCAGCCAGTTTACAGGAATCAATGGGTATGTTTGAATATAAGAAAAGATCCCTGCGTTTATGAAGAAGTCATGTTAAAATCCTATGCACTGCACATTTGTAATGATAAAGAATCTAGTCTTAGTGCACTTGATGTACGTAAAGGTTCACATGGTCACAGTTGCTGTGGAGCTTGTAGTTACTCTAAAACTAATTAGTTTACCTTGGCTACTATATATAGGGGGTTAGATTTGCTGCAGAGTGTAGTGCAGATTATTGCAGCTCTAGTTGGAGTTTGAATAATGGTATGTGTATCTAGAAATAAAATTTCTTGTTTAATTCTTGGAATGATCATAATTTAACTGTAGGTGTATTTGTTTTGCCAGGCTAATTAGAATTATGTAATGAAATGGATAATTAGAATAGAAGAAAAGCATCAATCTTCTGCAGTGTGTGAAGTTTACTGCTGTTTAGTTTGCTAAGCTGTTTTCTTTTTGTACAATGCAAATGTTTGTTTGTTAACTGTTTGTATGTGTATGTTCAGGAAATCCCTCCTAATTTCTATCATATTCTAGCCAATCAATGTGGAAAATTCAAGGTGTTGACGGGCTCTCATGGAATGTAACTCTTAAGAAATCTTGCAATGCGAGTGGAATTAGGCGTATATGTATTGGAGAAGGATGGAGGAACTTTATATCGGACAATGATATCGAAGTTGGAGATAAGCTAATAATGTATTTTAAAGCAAATGCCATATTTCACACACGTATATTTGCCTTTCTTGGTGAAGAAAAGACAAATCTAAATGCCATGCTACCAAGGGTTGATAACTTTGAAAGGATACCTGCACTAACCAATTCAGAACTTGATGTTCATCTATCTGCAATGCAACAGAGAATCTCTGCTCCATCTTTTAGGCATATATTCCGTGCACCATATATTAATGAAGGAACTCTAGTATGTTTGATTTGTTATCTAGATAATTTGTTTCATTGTTCCCTTTCTGTTCACCTTTTTCCTTCTATTCATACATAGGCATTATTTGCTCTTGATGGTTAACCTCTCACAAACTACTATTCTGTGCAGATTGTTCCGGCTTTATTTGCTAGAACCTACTTCAGAGAAATGAAACCATGTACTGTGATGTTGATCCGACATAGACTTAAAAAATGGTGTGCCGTACTCCATATTTCTCGAGAAATAAATGTCATAACTGCTTGTTCTCTAAGAAATGGTGTAAATCTGTTTTATGAAGATCAGCGTATTATTGATGGTTTTGGTGCTTTAGAAGTTTATCGACGAGGTTATTGAGCGCGGGGAAATTATGTCGTTGACTAACCTCCTCACGGCCAAACAAAATTTATTATAATCCTAAACTAACCCCTAAACAAGTCTAGTGGTAAGTTCGGAGTCGAACCACAAGGAACGGTAATGTTGGATTGTTCTCGATCTAATGCTTAAGCTACGCCGAAGTCGGTTTATGGATAGTGGACACTACAACTACACTAACACACATATAAAGATCAAGATATTACAAAGTCTACTAGGGGCAAAGATCCACTTTGAACAGTTAACAAGTTAATGGGAATCGATTTGATAATCAATCATGCAAAGAAAGAATTAAAATGGGAATTAATTACCATCAAGAGCAATCTCTCAAATTCCTAGCCTAGATCCCTCATTGACTAGGTGCATAGAAGAAATTTACCCAAAATGCAATCAAATATATAAATTCTAATTCACAATCCCTTGTCAAACTAGAATTAACATGCAATTAAGTTTGCTATCTTGGGAGATCAATCCAATCTAAAACAAACAACATGCCATCATCAATTCAATCAATTTAATCACACAATTATCATCAAATTTATCTCAAATAACTCAATTAACCATAACAAAGCTTCACTCAACACCTAGTAGAAGAAAATCTACTCAAACATGATTAACAAAGCAATTAATAAAGCATAAAGAGAGAAGAGAGTAAGAAATGCTCATTGATATAAAATGGAGATCTTCAAACCATCAAATTCCTCCTTTGATTATCCAAAATCCATGAAAACCATTGTTTCTCTCACTTTCTCTCTCCAAAATTTGAGAGTTTATCTCTCTAAAAACCTAAAAATAACCTAAAACTACTGAAAATATGAAATTCCCCCTCTAAAATGAGCAAAAAATCTATTTATACCCCTTACTAAATTGCCTAGGAAGCTCCGCAAAAAGTCGAGCAGCGTGCAGAGGAGCGGGCGCTCCAATTTCGTGCACGGGCACTCCTAGCTGCAGCAAAATATGGCAGAATCGTTCCAGAAAGTTTGGAGCGGGCGCTCCTCATAGGATGCGCACCCGCTCCTATCGGACTGGGCAAACCGCTCAGCTTCAAATGAGCATATCTCCCACGTATTACAACGGAATTGGGCATATAACCTGTCTTTGGAAAGCTCTCAAGATAAGCTTTCATCTCCAATTGGAATTTCCCCAAAATGTTTTGTAGATCAAAAGTTATAGGCGTTTGAAGTTCGATCATTGCAAATCAAGTGCACATTTCTTCATTACTTGTTCTTTTATGTTTTATATTTCTTCAATCTTGATCAATGAACTTATCCAAGTGTTCCTAAACATAAGAATAAACCAATAAAGTTTAATCTAATGCCATAAGCAACTAAAATATGCAAGAAAAGCCAAAATTGAGCAATAACGACATTTCACACGCAATCATGACAAATGTAATAAAACGTTATTAAAACCAAGTAAAAAGATATAAAAACTATGAAAAAATAACTAGAAAACTCTTAAAAATAGCGACATAAATGACACTTATCAGTTATCTTGTCTTATTTGAATTCCTACTTGGGCCTATGTAAGTGTCCTAGGGTAATGGATTGTCTAGCTACCTGTGTTTGGCTTGTGCTATAATAAAATGTACTTGGTTAAGATTTGTTGTAGTATTTACTAAATAGGTGTGTAAGGTTTCTTTTGTAAGGCCTGATGTTTGATGGAACTATATTAAAGCTTTGCTTTTAAGCCTATATATGTTGAAATTTATGTATTACTTTGGTTTAGATTTATTGCTGTCATCCTATGAACCTTGTCATTAGAAATTGGAGTAATAGATTTTCAAGTGCCTTTATCTTGTAGCAAAACACAAAGAAAAAACTTAGGAGTGAAAAAAGATTACCAGTCTGAAGACAATACTTAAGGGTGCAATTATGTTTTCATCAAACTGGAAATGTGTATTCAGGATCTGAATTCATCAGCATAGATTACATCGAAGTGCTAGTCTTGTCTTGTTAAATATGTATAATAAAACAATCATGGAAGAGTAAAGATGTTAATATTATCGTATATTGTGTATAACTTGTAAAAATATCAGCTTGGATAGGAGGAAAAGAATATATATATGCAGCTGTTAATGAAATGACAGTGAACAATTTCTTAGGTTCACTTCAATTGCTGTTTTAATAATGCATTTTTCAGGTATATATTTACAGGTTTAGATAATCTGTAGTTTGTTTAGAAAAACCTGTCCCTGAGACATGAAGCAGTAGAAAACCAAAGAATTTTAAAGAAGATGTAAAAACAACTGAATAAGAAGCCAAGAAAGTTTACTTAATATATTTGATATTATTTATATAGATATCCTGATTTAAGGATATTAATATATACATTACAGCCAACTTATAAGGCTTGAGCTGATAGCATAAACACTTACATAACTGATGTTCTTAACTAACTTCAAATAGGATGTCCAAAAGCTTGCACTTACTACACAACTTAGCTTACTACATGACTGCATGACTATATACATAAATGATGTTTATTGGGAACATAAGATGAGCAAAATGTTCCTTTTAAACATCTAAAAGCTGCTTCATTCTTAGAAAACTACCATACTCTAAAACTAAACTCTAAGAGCAAAAGACGGTGCACTTTCATAAACTTTAGATTGCTTTCGATTATGCATCAGTGGGACTGGGTGTTGCAGAGTCTGTGGTGTCAGCATCATCTGTTTCAGCGGTGTCCTTGAAAAGAGCTGTATGGAGCCTCTTCCTGGGAACAGGATCTTCATCCTCTGTGTCCATGTCTACATCTGCAATCATCGCTTCCTTACTCTTCGCATTGCTTCGTGGCCGAGAAAGTTTGGCCCAAGTAGGTAGTTCAGCAGCTGCTGTTGGTGCTTCTGAAATGACAATACCCTTGCTTGCTGGTTGATTTGCAATATCAAAACAATCTGTGTCGAATGCCTGTGAAGCTAATCTGATCTCTTGAAATTGCATTGCTTCAGCAAAAGCCTCATCAAATGCTGCTGCACTGTCTGTGTTGAAAGGAGCATCGTTATCAGGGTCAGCAATAACAGGTGCTTTCCCACGAGCTTTAGCTGTGGACATTAAAGGTGAAGTATGGAACTGTTCTCTATTCACAGTGCAGGTCTCAGGCCTTGTTGAGGCTAGATCCTGAGCCTCTGGTTCATTATCCCCTACATCAATGCCTTTGAGAGTCCACAGCAGCACGCTGTTCATGGCTAACTCTTGAGTGGGAGTTACTTGAATGAAGAATGGCTTAGTGGAAAGAGTTCTTTGCACTACTCTGAAGGCTTCCAAATTCCCCTGCAAAATTCAAATATTTAAGGAAAGATAATGTGAATGATATTCAAAATAAACCTAGGAAACAACAACAAAGCTGAAACAGTTGAGCAACACTTATAGAAGAATAACGAAGGAGTAAAAGCTGAAGCAGCAGAGAATAAAATACATAATAAGTGCTTGTTACAGCATAAGCGTACTTGTGTACTTGTATGGGCAGTGTGCATAGTATATCTTACTATTGTGGTTTATAAAACATAGCATACATTTGATTTGAGCAGAGTTATGAATAACAACAGATTAAAATATTAGGGATTATTCTTACAGTGCTTTTGATATTCCAAATTTCACTTGCTGGTTTTCGGAAAAGCTTTTCCGCGTCATCATTAAATGTTGTAAATGACATTGTTCCACTTTCATTTGCAGCATCAAACTTGAAAGTCACTCTATACAAATATATGGTAAAGGAGTTAGAATTAGTAGATAAGCTTATTATGGCAAAGTAACATATAAATAAGGTCATTTAAAGTACCTGTAAGCAGCTGTTGTTTCTGATTTTTTGCAAGAAATTCAAGGGAAACGAGTTCCAATAGGAAGATGTGTTCGTTTTCCACAGCCTGGACAGCCAATGTAAGCGTTAACTCTTTGTAGGTCAGGGTCTGGTATAGTGACTCTAATCCATGCTACTTCATCCGGAATAGCATTCGATGCCTGCATTCATTTAGCCAAACATGTATGTAAAACATGTATACGACAGCATATGCAAAAGTAAGTAAATTGTAAGCAGATAATTGTGTTCAAATTGAAGCAATAACATGAAGATTAAACCTTTTTGCTCCGAAGTTCTGCTATGGTCACTACTTTTTTCTCAGCACTTGGGTACCTAACATTCAGGATTTTTTCTTGTCTATCAAGCAAAACATGCTGATATAATTTGACCTTGCAATGCACAACAGAATAAGGTAAGTACATTATCTTATTATTGATCTGTTTGTTCTATATATGATGCATGTACTAATTACCATTCTCGTAGCATATCTGCTCTTTCTCCTTTAGGGTTCATAATGATCCTAGTAGACATAGTAGTGTTCAAAGTGAATCCTGCAATGTAGTTCAAGAATGCTTCAGATTAGATTATATATGTACAGTACAAGCGTTCAAGTACAGGAGCTGCTTTTACCTCTTGTATGACGAGTCTTAAGTGCAGTAAAGCCGACAACATTGAATCTTTCAGCCCAATTACTTATTGCATCACAGGGCTTACCAGTGAGATCATTCCATGCTGAAATTGTCATAGCATGGTCTTGGCTGATCCAATATTTTTAATAGGTTGTTAGGTATTTCAATCAAGTAGCGCATTAAAGGTTAAATATGCCCTAAAAAGCTATAAGGTATATAGTATTGATTACCTTGTGTCAGTTACAGATATTTCACGAACTGGACTGTCGCGCCCACGAATATTAGATATAATTCGAGGTGCCTCCTCAACAAACAGAACCACACCAACAATATCTATTTAGGCAAGGAAAAAAGAAATGTAGCTTCAGATGATATTAATAGTAATATACACTAATTATAGAGAGGAATTTATCTGTAAATAAAATTTAAATATAGCATAAGTATACCAAATCTGCCATTAGGATCAGGTGATCGTGGGAGAGTTGACAGTGGCTGATATCTAGGCTCAATTGGACCAGCTTCTGGATTTAAACGCTGAACGATTGTCTGGTGGCCAATAGTCATATGATATGGAAGCTCTTCAAGGTTAATCTTGTACTGCTCATCCATATATGATATAGGAGCTTTTGATATTTCATATTGGCCAGTTGGTTTTAAGACATCTTCATATGCATGGATTTTGATCTCCAAAAAGAGCACATCTCATTCTGTTTTTCTGTTAAGACATGTAATATACAAGTCAACAACATGCTTATCTAGAAATACTAAGATTATGTCTCTATAAAAAGGACACCACACTTTAATGAATATGTTAGCTGAACATAAGCAAAAGTACATGCATAAATCTACATAGGCAAACAAAATAAAGAAATCCTATTACTTTTACATCACACAAAGTTCCTTGGTAAGTAAAGGTGCATGTTGATAATTATAAAAGTAGCAGTAATAAGATAAGCTTTCAGTCCAAAACAATTGCTTATCACAGTATTGATGAAAAAAATACATGGGTTTTTGTAAAAAATAAACAAATGAAGCAGAATTACCTTCTCATCTTCTAAGATAATTGTCTGGAATATGACACCTGGTTTTTTAGGTGATGGTTGAGCCCTTCCTTTTTCAGCTACAGTCACTTTAACCTTGTAGTCTTTGCTCTGAGTGTTAAGTTCATCTAAGTACACAGGTTCAAGCTTCATCTTTGAAGGTGTATTCATTTTCTGTTAAGAATTATTGAAACAAAGTAAAAATAAGCACTATTAATTTAGGTAGTTAATCTAGACAGACGGTAATTCATGCAAAGTAAAAAACCATTGTAAGGTACAATCAAATATAATAAATTTCTAATGAAAGATAAACTATTATAAGGAATTTAAATTATAGCATCTACAAATGAATTTATATAAGAATAAATTTATTGTGCAACATTTATAAAAAAATTTCAAGCCAAGAATTTAAATGCAATCTCAGCTACAAGTGCAAGGAAATAAATAGGTATAGTTAAGCAAACATATAAGCATTCATTTTCATTATAAAGGTATACGAAACTGATTTTCTGCTAACGTTTTTTTCCCTACAAATAGCAAACGAAATATGAATGATACACAGTGCAGAACATATATACAAAAATAACAAAAAAAAACCCAAAAAAAAAAAAGGTTTCAAAAATAACTATAACAACTATAATAAAATAATATACTAAATATTTAGCAATGTCAAGAAAAATAGAGCTACTTGTATAAATTGCACTCAATTTATTTGATCTCGTTTTTTTTTTTTTTGTTTTTATGAAATGTACAATCAAATATAATAAATTTCTAATAAAACTATAAATTTTAATTGCACCACAAGTAGATAATATTTAAAGGAGGTTGAATAATCTATTTATAGGATTTAATTCTTTCAAATTGTAATCTGTTTAGTAAGCTAATAGCTTACTCTAGTGATGGTTAGCTCATAATGCATGAACACAAGCCATGAATTTGCGTGCCAGGAAAATAGAATAAATGAGCTGAAAAGAAGAAGAATATACCTCAAAACAAAATAAAATAACAGAGAATAAAGAATAAAGAGGGAGGAGGTGGGTATTTATAGCCGATCCTAGGTACTAAAGTTAACCTAATTTTTTTCACTTGAGTACTGTTGAAGGCAGTAAAGCTACAATTGTTTACTCTACTATTCGTACATCTAGAAAGTAGTATGGACTAAGATAGTGGGCAGATACTATTATTTTATGCACTATTCTCCCCTGAAATGCAGTTTGATCGTATGCGGTTCAGGTCCTCTCTCTCCTGGACTAATTCAGCGCATCTATTTTTAAATAGCTTCACACACAGACGATACATCTTAAGGCGTTCATGTGTAAAGTCATCTACTCGGACATTAAACCGACCAATCAAACGCTTCACAGCCTTGTGAGCTGCTCTTTTGCGAGACTCTTCTGCCGAACTGGCATCTCCACCATAAAAAAGAAACCTTGCACGTGTATTTGGACGGCCAACTCGAACAAAGGCATTGTTCTTAGCAACATCTATAAATCCATAGAATGGAGGTGGAAACTGGAGCCAAGCAACAATCTTTTCCAAAAGAGGCTGGAAAGGGATACAGACTTTGTTCGTTCGTCTAGCCATAACCTGTAATGGCAAAATCCAGGACACAATTCAGACCAGGGAAACCGTGTTTCTTCCAAAAAACACCGTCACAGCGTATCTACAGAGCTAACTAATTTACATACAAAACTCTAATCAAAGGGCAACCTAATAAGACAAAGGAAATATCTCTAAAGGCTATGGACTTTTCTGTAAGCAGACCATGCACAACCAAAACAACAACCCTGTAAATAACAGGGCAAAATAAAGCAAAAAATGGAACAAGGCTATAAAAAAACAAAATCTAATAAAAGCAACAAAGAATATTTAAGCACCTCATAAGAAATCACTACTACTATTCATAAATATATCTATATAATAAATCTATAACCATAATAAAACAAGTGTAAGGAATTACCTTAGAAATTCTTGCACACTAAATAAATCACACTAACTCTTAAATGCACCAAACCACAAAATAGATTCACCAAACCTGTAATCCAAAAAAAGACACAACTTAAAACATGTAAAATAGACTATTAATTAATAACCATTTCAGATGGACCATACCCTTAAAAGATCATCTACTAACTAATCTATCTGATTTAATAAAGAAGATATAGTAGTTGATTTTCAGTGTTTTCGCGAGTATTCGAATAATGATATCCAAGGATTACAAACTTAATCAACAGCAGTAACCCAAAAAAACAGTACACCGCAACAGAAATCTATAAACATTATAATGTTAAGATTCGATTTGCCAAGAACGTCCAATTTGTCAAAAAAATATCACAGCACTATTCAAATCGTTAGAGATTCTTCATTTTTCTCAAAAATACCATTTGCAACCAAGTAACAACAACCTAGTAAATACCTTTACAAACCAATCTCAAAGCACCATATCCAGAAATACAGAAATGAATACATGAAAAACCCCAGCAATCTGTACCTCTATTTATAGGCCGCTTAACCGACTATACCCACAAGGGTAACCCTAAATTAACCAATGCAAGTCCTTTTCCGCCCCCTCAGAAGTACAATTGAGTAGTCCCCAAGGCATTATTCTGCCTTAAGTTTATTCAGAAGGCAATGCACAAATTACTAATGCTACAGAAGATCTCAGAAGAATTAATTGGATCTATTTCCTACCACTTAACAACCCTAATCAACAAACCAAACATGTAATACAGTAAATCAGCCCAAACCAACAAATCCAAAATCAAACAAGCTAAAAATACCAGCATACAATCTCATAATCCAACAAAAAGCAATCCAAGTCTACAAATCAAAGGCAATAATGCAAAGAAAAGCGGAAACCATACCAGGCAATCTCAGCCATAGCAGCAATCAAACCGAATTCCCTTCCAAGCCTCATCAGCCACGGAAACACAAAACCCAAACCAAACCAAACCAAAGGCAAACCTCAATGACATCCCCTACCCCTATACTGAAAGACAAGACATCAATACCTTAGCTGGCAGCCAAAACACTAACACCTGTAGTCTCCTTTACAGTTGCCAAAAAGAATGCAATGCAAAGACACAAAGGGTAATTCCGGCAATCCATTTAATTCGGGGGTGTTAGTGTAATAACTCAAAGAGTTACTGTTGCTAACTTTCTATTTTTATTATGGGTTAATGATATAATTGTCTCAAACTATTCATAAGTGTTTTCTAATACTTTTTAAAAGGTAGGGAGCCCCTTTTTTTTTTTTTTTTTTTTTTTTTTTTGTCTCCCTTCACTTTGGTATGAAATAAATAAATAAAGTTAGAAAATTTTATTTGTTCAAATCGTGTATCCCACAAGATTAATCTAGTTTTAACTATTATGAGTACCTCACTATCTCATACGAAGTATTAGTCTTACAAGTGGGGGAATTATCTTTTAGCTTTGAGGCTAGGGGTTCAAGATTCATGATCTACTCATGCTTATGAGTAGGGATCCCTTACCTTCCCTCCACTTCAAGCATCGACCTGTTAGTTCACTAGAGTTCTTATCCTTCCTAAAATGAAGTATTAATCTTAATAATGGCACCATCTTTACCATAGTCTAAATGTGATACTCAATACATTTCTTGGTCTCTCAATAGTTCGGGATCCGATTTTGTCTATATCACTATCTTTTTGTCTCTCTAAAAAAAACACATATAACACTTTAAATCCCCCAATATCTAAAAACTTCAAGTTGAACATGTATGTATTAGCCAAAGTTGTGTCTGTTGGCCAACTCAGTGTTATTAAATAATAACTTTTAAAAAGAAAAGTGAGTGTGCACATTAATTATAAAGTTCTCCTAAAATGATAAAAAGTTATTCTGATATAAATAAAAGTTATTACAACATAAATAAGGGTAATGCCGCTATATGTAACCCTTGCTTAGGGCAACAAATAAGCATTACAATCTTTCCTTATTTGTAACTCCTATTAGTTTAGGAATACATCAATGCATGACAAAGGTATTAGCTTAGGAATACATCAATGCATGACAAAATCATGCGCAAATTTTTTTTGGTGCACACGAGGGGCAAGCCCCAGAGAAAAACAAAAAAAAAACTAGGGAGAAATAAAACGTGGCACAACCACTCCTACAAAATCATTATGTAAAATACGACCCAAAGCTAATGGGGGGACTTGAATCAACTGAAATTTGTTGTTCTGGTTTACGCCTTGATTAGCAAGCCAATTTGCCTCTTGATTAGCCTCTCGATAGATATGCTTTGACCTCAACTTCCCATCTTGGTTCTGCTAAGAGCTTCTGACAATGAGCAATATTGTGATAACATTCCCCTATTGTAGCTTCTGTATTTTTCAAACTCACAACCACAACTTGATTATCAATTTGAATCTGCAATCTTGTAACCCCGAGCCTCTTTGCAAGTTCTAGCCCATACTCTACAACAAGAATTTCACCTTTGAAAGCGTTGCAATGACCTAATTTCAGGGAGTATATATGCATAGCTGAACCCCCCAGTGCTGTCACGAAGGATGCCTCCTCCACCAGCAAGCCCCAGTGGATGCCTCATCCACAATATCATGCACAAATCAGTGTAACTAATGAATATATCTCATTAATGTTTTTCTTTTTTACTCCGTAGCTTATTATACATATCGCTTAATGATATTATTATAGCATGATCCTATAAATAAAAGCTATTTATATTTTATCGATAAATAAAGTTGCCTCTTTAAATAAATAGAAATCAAATCTTTGAATGAAAGTAACTATATTAATCATATAAAATTTTGTCCTACCATCTATTTACAGCAAATTCATATTAGGTTTAAGGTTAGCACAATTAGGGTTACACGTTATCCTAATTTGGCTAAAGATTACCCTAAAAATGTTTCACGTATATTAAATTATTGTAAATCGGGTGTACATAAAAATCTTTATGACATGTATATTTAAATTGCAGTTAATATTTATCATAACACAACTACATTTAATATTTATAATAACACAAGTTTTAGCTTTGTTTAACCACACCATTACTTGATACTTCCTCCGTTTTTTTTTACTTGACCCGCTTTGACTTTTACACTATTCACCACTCCTCCTTTGACCGTCTTTTGTGAATAATTTGTAAGGAAAAATATGTTCATTTTGGATATTTTGATTTCGTCTTAAGAAGTACTATTATAATATATAACTTTTATAATTTTTACTTATGAAGAATTAAAGTTATTAATCGTTAAAGTTTTGCATTGGCAAGCGTGATAAAAGAAACAGGTCAAGTAAAAAAGAACAGAGGAAATATATTGATAGTGCGGGGTTGTGGGCACTCTACATACTCTGTATAAAACAATGAATTGTGTAATGAGAGCTACGTTGACAATCAAATAATGGAGTTATCAAAAATATGTGTGGTTACTCAAATGAAAAATAAACGTTAATTTTAAACAAATGAATTTATTCATTTTATAACTAAAATAAAAGAAAAAGATTTACTCGATTGACCAATTTAAACTACTCCGTATTTTTTACATTAATTAATATTCCCTCCGTTTTAAAATATTTTCTCCATTTTTTCATGCGGAGTTTTAGTGGAATTTGGAGAAAGTAATAAAATATAGAGATAGTAGGGTTAGTGGAAGATAAATTGGAGGAGAGAGAACCTAAAAGTAGTAAAATTGGGTCCACTAGTTGAGAGAAATGAATTAAGTATTATAAAAACTTTCCAAATAAGGAAATGGAGCAAGTATTTAAAAACGGCCGCAAAAGTAAAGTGAAGCAAGTATTTAAAAACGGAGGGAGTACTACTTGGGGCATGTTCTCATTGACTGAACTCAGCTGAATTGAACTGAACTGAACAGAACTGAACTGAAATGAATATTTTATAAGAGAAGGAAATTAGGAGCTTAACTGAACTGAACTGAACTGAACTGAATTGAGCTGAACTGAACTGAACTGAATTAAGCTGAACTGAATTGAACTGAATTTCAACGTAAGAGAACAGACCCTTGTTCAATAAATTGTACAGTACATAATTCTAATGGATAGAGAAAAGTTACCCTTATAAATAATAGGCCCTTGTTCAATAAATTGTACAATACATAACTCTAATGGATGGAGAAAAGTTACCCTTTATAAATAATTGAATTATTTCATAAAAGTGTTACTCTTCTAAATATATATTTCTTCAATTAAAAATATATAGAGTTTTTTATTTATTTATATTTTATCGAACTCCAAACCCGTCCTTTTAATTAATTTATTACCAAAATTCTAAGCTCTCACCCCCTCCCCCCACCTTTTTTTTTAATTTTATTTTTATTTCCATATTTATTTTTTTTATTACATGCATAAGCAAATAAGATTAATGTTCTAAAAAAAAAAAAAAAAACACGCTTGTGTATCACATGGTTTGAACTACTTGGTATTAATTTCAAATAAAGTTGATATAATTGCAAAGGAATCGTACCATTAAAAGCAACATGAGTTGTCACTTTTGCGAGCATAATGATCTTTTTTTTTTTTCTTTTTCTTTGGGCCAAGTATTGTTGTAATCTTACCATTTGCGGTCCAACTGGTAACTGGTAAGGTACTACTCGCTCTGATCCGCCCAGAAAGATTATCCCATACTTGTATTTTTGCTTTAAAGCATAGACAAAGTTGTGCATCTGGCCATATAGGTTAACAAAGTTGTACATGAGAAGGAGAGAGATAGAGAGCAAGTGAGATAACAAAGCAAAGCAAAGCAATATGATAAAAGCTCAAATCACCCAAAGATATTATATTGCAAATAGTATACAAGACAATCATTAAAGGACTGACACGGAATCTATTCTACAAACTTTCTTATCAAATAAAATCTAATACTAAGGCCCTGTTTTGATACGATTATTTTCAGTTCAGTTCAGTTCAGCTCTAATAAATTCAGTTCAGCTCTAATAAATTCAGTTCAGTTCAGTTCAGCTCTAATAAATTCAGTTCAATTCAACTCCTAATTTCCTTCTCTTATAAAATATTCAGTTCAGTTCAATTCAACTCCTAATTTCCTTCTCTTATAAAATATTCAGTTCAGTTCAATTCAACTCTAATAATTTCAGTTCAGTTTAGCTCAGTTCAGTCAATGAGAACAGACCTTAAGTGTTTGGATCCCCTGTGGACCTACTTTCATTAAATATGGAAATTACCAAAATGCCCTTATTTAAACCCTGCATAGGAAAAATTCCAGAATCGTGCACAACAAGTAACTCGAGAAACCCTATTATGGCCCAACATCGCCTAATACGACCTAGAACGGCCAAAATCCCTTATCCTAACCCTAATGAAGTTAGTTAATCCTCTCCTATAAATACTAATCTACACAGACTAGCGAGGTAATTAATTTTCTCCACTCTCTCTTTCTACAAACTTTCTCTCTAAACACTGTTGACTGACTTGACCGTCAGAGGGGCTTTCTCGGGAACATCCCCCGAGGCAGTTGACTTTCGTTGTTTTGCAGGACTTAATTTGACCATATGAGCAGGCTCCCCCACAACTCAGATCCCGAAATTCTTTTGCAGAAACACTAAGATAATTGAATAAAGTAATAATGTTACTTAATATGAGATAGTTTGTGATATAAAAAAAAAAGGAAAAAATGACAAGAATAAAGTAATAACACTTTGCTTTATTTACCCAAAATAATCCTAACTTTTGATTAATTTTTAATAATATGAACTTTGATATCAATTTGCTTTTAGTGGTCCCGAGTGACTTGTAACCTGTTGAGTGGGATTTTTTTTTTTTAAAATGTACATATGTTGCTACATGATTGGTCAAAATAAGTTTAAATTTTATTTAGTTACTAATTAAATCTTAACTAATACTTTTAGTTACCGATTTAACAAAAAAGCTAATTAAAAAAAAGCACCACAGCACCACTAGCGCCACCACTGCCCAGCCTTCACCACCGCCCAAAATCCTAAAAATAACTCTTTCCCACCGCTCAAAACGCCCATTGCTCCTCCCCCAACCCTCGAAACCCCTATTCGCTTGGGTTTCGAGGGTGGGCGAGGTGGAATTCGGGATTTTTCAGCGAGAGGTTATTTTTTAAGTATTTCAGTGATTTTGGGTTTGGGGATGATGGCAGGTGGTAGGCGACGCTGTAGCCGGCGAGGAAGCCTTGGGTTGCGCGGGAGTGTGATGCCAGTGGGTGACTACCTGACTGGACTGGAGCTGTCGGGGAGGGGTGTGTGGTGGGTTTTAGTTAGTTGATTGAATTTTTTTAATTTTTAATTTTTAATTTTTTAAAATTATCAATTCCTTCTTGACACGTGTCTGATAACTTGTTATAACAGGTTGTATGAGAGGTTGGGACCATTAAAAGCAAATTGATATTAAAATTCTGATTATTAACAAATAATTAAAAGTTGGGATTATTTTAGGCGAATGAGACAAAGTTAGGATTATTCTTGTCAATATTTTCTAAAAAAAAATCCACAATATTGGTTTTATATCCACCTAAAATGCCTAAATGCACTTACCTTTTACTATTACTAGATTAGGTCCATAACTATTTGTAGATAAACAATGTATTTATTATAAAGGAGCCTATTAGCTAGATAGCTATTTTTAAAACACATTTGACTCACATGTATTTTTTCATATATTTAATTTCACCAACAAATCTTTTAGTATAAAGTTATTGATTGGTACCATTTTCTTGTTGTTAACCAAATGAATTTCTTCACGTACATTACACTACGTAGTTTGTATGTATGTCACAAATTATGTTGAGAATTAAAAAAGTGATTTTATCATGCACAATTTAGAGCCGGTTTTCATTTACTGAGCTGAGTTGAATTGAACTGAAATGAATATTTTATGATCGAGAGAGGGAAATTAGGAGCTGAACTGTTAATATTTTTTAAAAAATGATACATCAAATCTTTTATTATAAGTATATTTTTAAAATTTGATATTCAAATTACTTTCTTGGAGCTTTAAGATATAATTAAATAAAAAAAAACCCCTTGTTATAATAATTGAAATACATAATATCCTGGCCCAATTTATGTTAAAATCCAATTTTTTATTTATTCTTTACTTAAGTATGTATAGTTGTCAATGTATAAATTATAGAAGAATATATCAAATCTTTTATTTATATATTCTTTTGCTAAATTTTTATTTATGTATATAGTTATTGATTATTATTATTTTTAAATACTGATTGTTGTACATGTATTTGAAATGTAAATCACATGACACCAACATTTAAAACTAGCACTGATAATAATGATAAGGAGTTGAGATTGAGGGATAACTCAGGTGGTTAGAGCTTTCCTACCGATTCCAAAGAAACCTGAAATCATTTTTCATCACTCGCTCTTGTGGCTCTTTAAACACTTAAAAAAAAGGTAAGGAGTTTACATGTAGCTTTATGAAGAAATTTTATCAATATTCATGATAAAAGGCATGCTATCCGCTTACATTTCACCTCATCTAGTCTAGGGGGAAAAAGAAGAAAAATGACGATAATCAAATTTCCTCATCTTTCTGAAGGAGCAGAAAAATCGAACAATTCTCATTCGTCATCCTTCTCCCAGCACCCAGTGCGATTTAAAAATTAAAATCAGTGTCAATATACCCAAGACATAAATTCTCTAAACAAGTAGTAAATCAGTCCTCAAGTAAAGGCATCCAGAAAAGGCCCTTAATCCTTCATCAAAATCCACTCCACTTCCACAATGAGATTATGCTGTTAGTATCACTTTTCCTGGAACCGAAAATATCCTTGGAATCAAATTCACTTGCAGACTTGCAATTTCTTTTAACCGCTGAATCTATCTTAACAAGTGTTTTTGTGCCTTGTATATGAACTCATGCCCCAGGTCTGAATTTATCAGCATATATCGGTTGAGTGAAAGACCAAGTTCAGAAGTTACTAGATATCAGATTCTGCAACCAGAAATCGTAGCTTAGTTTTAATGTAAAAGAAGAATACCAGCATTTTGAAAAGACTATAAACACAAAAATCATAATGGGGATGCAGAGTAGAGGAGGAGAAAGGGACAAAGAAAGAAAAGTTTAGGGTGTGGCAGTGTGGCCTTTAAGCAAGCTATAAGTGAATGTTAATGTGATATTGTGCTATGCACAGATCTCAGAATGGCATAAAAAAGATCAAATCTTTACATAGCAATATTTTGATAATTTCACATGTGATGCTTATTTGTCAGCTCCAACAACATGCAGGTTCGATATTATGAACTTGTTTGATGGTGAGTAGTGCTGAATCATAAATTCAGACGAAAGTATGCACACATCTTATTTATTTATTTATTATTTAATCAAATCAAAATAAGTGCAAGAAGGCTTACAATCAAAACCCAATATATTAGTTCTGATGACCAAGGTCCCATTTCTAGGGAGAATCATCTCAACAACATGAACATTAGAACTCAAAGGTCCTGATCTTAAGCTAATGAAGAAGCAATTGGCTTTGGTGGTTGACAGAGTTGGCTGTTCTAATCCAGGCCCTTTATAGCTTTCCTTCATCCTAGGTAACAAGAGAGATTAGAACCTATGAGAAATGCATATTCAAGGTCAAAGGGCAACTACTGCTACATTTGGTTTAGGAGACTCTCCGTGACCCCTGGCCCATCTCATGATTTCCCCACATCAATAGAGAAGCCTCTTTAGGCTACAAAAGAAGCAAATGCACATTTTATCCCACTCCATTAGTCCACTATGTTAACAATGTCTGTATCTAGTGCATATTATTCTGAGCTTCTGATTAGTTTTATGATCAATAGAAAATAATTTAATTGAGGTGAAAAAAAATATTCTCAAATTAGAATGACAATGCTACTTCTAATTGTACCTGCACAATGATTCAGGTAAAATGGCAGATTCCTAGTGATGATAATTCTGACCTTTGAGAATAGTCCATGCTCTGCACATATAAAAAATAATTAATTAATAAATAAAGAGGGTCTAACTAAGAAGAGCTTGCTCACTGGAATGTGCAAGTTTGCTTATGTCTCCAGATTGGAAACACATCAGTCAGTCACAAAATTAATATAAATGAAAGCTTCAGTAGATCAAGATGCTTAAAATAGCAATCAGAATCAGCAAGCTTAAGTTAACAAATTGGCTATATATTAACCTGTATAATTGCTCCATTAGCACAACTAAAGCAATTTGATGATTCAATACCAATGACGATAGCTTTATTGATAGATTAGCACGTTGACGTAACTGTCTTCCATGACCATATGGCCCACCTATGCAAAATATCATTTTTGAAGCTCCCTACAAAACAAAAACAAATAAATAAAAATAAAACAAAGAGAGAGAGCTGACAGCTGAGTAAATCTCTTATCACAGGCAAACATCTCTATACTGAAAAGACTCCGAATACAAACTAAATGACCTGAAAGGGTTAGGCCTACCAAACAACTGTCCCTTAACAACTAATGGTAGCAGCTGAACCTAGCCATCAAGGTGGAAGGCGGCATACTTGCCAAGTTAGATGCTTGCTTTTTGATAATTCTATTGTACACACCAACAATGTGTTTGGATAAAGAAAGGGTAAGGAAAAGAAGGGGAGGGAGGAGAAGAGGAGGGGAGGGAAGAATGGTGAGATTTCCTTCCAAATCTCTCCATTGTTGGAGGGATCAATTTCCTACAATTTAATCCCTCCATTTCTCTCCCCTTCAATTCCATTCCTTCCTCATTTGTTATCCAAATGAAAGATACACCATCTCTTCATTTCCCTTCCCTTCCTTTCCCTCCATTTCCTTCAATCCAACCACACCGTAAGGGTTCTCTAACAATAAAAGGCACGTGTTCAATAGGCTGCAGAGTAGTTGAATGCAATCAACACATAACGCTTGACAATCTCTTCATTACTGATTACAATAGATGGGATATGGGAGCCATAGAAGTCCTGTACAACACTTGATACCAGCTATAGAGATTTAGATAAAAAGGGCTAGAAGTTATACCGTCAACCCTGCATCTCCTATAAGCTCAGCAAGCCGCTCTGAGCTAACATCAAGTCCATGCTCATCCAAAATCACCACCTAATATCAAACATTTTTAAGCATATTAAAAAAAAAGCCATCAGAAGAAGCCTATTGAATATGATGCACCAAATACTTATATCTTTCAGGAAATAGCCTCACCCTCAACTATATTACATGCACATTGTCAGATAGATGAAAGAGAAACAGTTGTGGACAATAGATATAACATGATTGAGCAATATATCCATGATTGGCCATTTAACTTCCAGACATCCCATAAAGGGTACCAATAAAAAAATAAAAAGAGACAAAAAGCTTATAACAGGTTTTATATAAAGGCAATTAGATATGATACATACAACAATTATATTAATCCAAAGCAATCATACCTTCAAAGTGGGAAAAAACATTATGTTTAAAGTTTTAGTAGCAAGATGTTGCAGATTCTATTGTCATTAAGCACCAATAGATATTAGTTTAGTCTTCGATATAAGAAAAGTAGTACACATCCATGTCTTTGATTTCAGTTAGACATCCAAAAGAAAAAAGTTAATCAACAGAACAGCAACATGTAGAAGTCTTTAGCTCTAAATGAATTACTGGTATGTGGTTATGTATGTTCTACTTTTTCGTACAAAAAAATGTCATAGTTTGAGCCAAGTAACCAATAATACCATACCCAATAACTTAAGAGACTTGACTGGAAGAAGTGTATGTTTCCACCGATAGTTAGACACTGACCACTTGTTTCTTACCCTACTAAGGCATTACCTTCAGAAAATAAACTATTACTTCTTTCAGGTATTGTACCTCCCAAATGAACTATATCTTCCTTGACACCAAAAACAATTACTTCTTCTACGCTGAGGACTAATATAAATATCTATAGACTATGACCATACAATATAAGCTTCTCTTACATTGTGCTTACTTCAAAGTCTATAGTGGTGACTAAATCATCATGTTATATTGAGAACTTATTTAGTTACGTTTATTATATGATAATATATGGAAATTGGGTTTTTATTAAGTTATACAATTGATTTGCTTAGCATTCCACAGTTTTTTTTCATCACTTTATAAGGAAGAACTGCAGAAAACAAAACAAGGAAAATATAACCAGAAGACTTACCCACATATGCTCAATTTTACCTTTTCCATACTTTTGCTTTTAACAACCAGTTTATAAAGTAAAGGGATGGCCACATTTATCAACTTTTACTCACTCGCGCCATAGCTAGCCACATATGGGAAGTTTTTTTCGACTTAGCCTTATACCATAACTTTAATTATTGGTAGGATTAATGAGGAAAATTATACGTAGTATAAACAAATATTTTTAAGGGTATAAATAATATAAGCACACTATTTTTAAGAGTTCAGAAAAATAGGCAATTGACATTGATGAGGGCAAGCAAGTAAATAAACATTTTAAAGGGTACGTCCAAATACTATTCATAAGTGTTAATTCAAACTTTTTAAAAGGTAGGGATATCCTCATGATCTCATTAAAAGTTTGGTCCCTGAACACAATTTTATTTTATTTAAGAACATTACTTCAACATAACAAAATTTGTTTTTATGGATCAACAAAACGGCATGGTCAAATTGTTAAAATAGGTATATGAGCAAAAGTTAAATGTTGCAACTTAAAAAAAATGGGTGAAAGTAAATACTTGGAAAACACTTCTTTGTCATCAAACTTTCGACAACAAAATAGCTCTTTTAGAGTAGCTTAGTTTTGGCTCTCAGAACATTGTTCCCTGAAGGAATGGCAAGATTAAAGACTGTCACTAACTCACCAAGGCATCCAACATAACCGAATTATGTAAAGACTAAAGAGTAAACTATAAATAAAGAATGCAAGCACCCAATTATGTATGTCATGGTGGAGGAAGCAGTTTCTAGAAAATAAGGAGGCTCTATGAAAGGAAACATTGAAAGCAAACTTTCTACTACATACATAATGTGACATTCTAGATCTCTTTTGGAGTTTTGGAAAAAGGAATTTTCCCGGAAAAAAAATAAAATGAAACACAGTCCAAAATAATGGTTGGCCTTTTAATTAGCTATTAGTTATACATCCAGGCAGGCAAGAAAAAAAAAAAATCTAGGTCACAGTTAGCCATCTTAGTGATCTCAAAAAATCAGAGTATGACAGAGTCATACACTTACTATCCCAGGAAATCATGAATCTAAAAACGGATATACGACATGAAACGGATATACGACATGCTCAGTGGACAGCCCGAGAGGAAGGGAAACAAGAATTTAAGGAAGTCATATGATAACAATGATAAGGCTTCACTCATTATCTTCGATCCACCAAAGGCACGCCATGCAGCAACCTAATAGCTTCATGGACAAATTCATCTAACATAATTGTTTTATCAAAAGCAGATCATTCCCTTCCTATGGACCACACCTCTTCGAAAGGGGAAAATATTATACCCAATCATTTGACTTGATGAGGTTTACAACAGCACAGTCTTCTTCTTCAATCTGAGCCTTGACATCCCTAAATTAGGCAAAAGGAAATAGCTTTTAAATTCTAATTAGCACAATTAAGCGTGACACTTAATTAGCACAATTAAGCGTGACACTGGTGACAGCTTCAGGTAAGGAAACTGCTCATAAACACATTACTCACTAAGTATGTCATGCAAGGATTTGTGAACCGAGCATGACACTGGTGACAGCTTCAGGTAAGGAAACTGCTCATAAACACATTACTCAATAAGTATGTCATGCAAGGATTTGCGAAGCGAGAACCTAATTTGTTTGGAAAATCTCAAACACAATTAAATCCTGACTGCAGGCTGCAGCACTTGACTATGTGATAAAACTGTTGTTAAGTGAACAACATGAGCACAAGTGAACTTAAACCAAAGTGCTATAGTTAATCACCAAAAATGATACATATTAGTCAGTAGCGTTATGAACATGATTCTCATTATTTTACGATATCAAACCATCAAAACCTCCCAAAAAAAGGGGGGGGGGATACTGGGGAACATGGAGAAAAGTTTCCTCCAGTAAACAAAGGTAAAATTTTAATGAACATAGAGGTTTCCTTGCAGATAGAAAAACAGGCATGTAATTACAACTACTGCACAATTAACAACATAAATGAAGGAAAGAATATAACTCGAGTATTTCAAAGTTGGAGGGAGGTGAGCGAAAGAAAAGTTGAGAGAGTGAGAAGGAGGGAGCTCATTAAAAGCATTACAGTTGCTTTTGGAGGACTAATCTGGGAAGAAAATGTCATTGGAGATGAATATATTATTAAATCCCATGAGAACTAAAGGAATATGGACTTATGACAAATGAAGTGAGCCATTTCATGTGGCATGGGTATAAACAAACCTCTAGGAGATTTAAACCATTGGAGGTGCCCTAAGAAGAAATATCAAACTGATTCCCATTTACTTCAGATTTTGTATCATATTAGACTGCCACTGATAACTAGTGCTATGGAACTAGGATTTCATAGCTTCATAGTTGCTCTCTATGGCATCAAAGAAACCCGGTAACAATTCCTGAAGTTAGCAGCTTAGAAACTGAAACTGGAAAATTCTCTGTAGTCATTCCTCATAAAAACACGTCATTTCTCATAAAAACACCCTCTTTTCAATTTTTGCCCTAACTAACCAACACCTGAAAAAGCAAATTAGAAGCATGTTCACAGTAATTGAGCAGCATTACGTACTCAAGCAGACTTATAAACGGGTTCCTACTCAATAGATCAAACATCTTCGCTGGATCCAATGGTTATTATTTTGACATTGGAAAAACAATATTGCGGAGCTCAAACTAAGCATTTCAACTGCATATTGTCAACCATTTGAAAACCTAACAACATATCACAAATATGAGACTAATGACAACATCGATAAAACAAACAACGAATGCAGCACAACTTACAAATACAAGCAACAAACCACTAGCTACTTGGCATAATAAATTAATAATCTTGGTAGTTGAGAATTAGCATGGAATCAAATTTCAACCAAAGCATAACAAAATCTTAAAAGAGAAGGACAAAATACCGCGCATTTTTAGGATTAGAGCGAATTAAGACATCATCAATGCTACAATAATGTTGGAGTTTATCTTTATATTCATCAACAATGAGCTGAACCCCACGATCCCGCTTCTTCCCCACTGTTAAAATCCTCATCGGAATCGCTCTCTGCAACCCCAATTCATCAAAACCACAAAAAAATCAAATCAAAAGCATAATTTTTCAGTATCCCAAAGAAATTGGGTTTAATGGGTGTATCTCAAATTCAGCAAAGATTGAGTTTTGAACAAAATTCAGGAAAACCCTAAGAGATTTTACAACAAACGATTAAAGGGTTACTAATTATGTGCATATTAAACAGTAAAAATCAAAGAAATGAAAAGGGCTGTTGAGAAATTATACCACAGATTGACCAGTGTATTTGCATTTCCTTCCATTAGGGGAATCTGTAGCAGTTGTAATGTCATTGTAATTCAATAGGAAACAAAAGGGCAAATGTAGAATGGAAATCAGAGGGTAAAGCAAAAGGCTAACCTGATGAATTGATGACGATACTGGGGAGATGACAAGCTAACACTGTAACTGCCATGAACGATGAACATCACTCAATCCAAATTAGAGACTTACAGATTATTTAGTACTCCGTACTACAAAGTAATTTTAAATTTCTTTGTTTTACACGAATAACTTAGGGCTGGTTTGACATCAGTTTTGGTTTCAGTTTCCTGTTTTTTTTTTAAAAACCAAAAACAGGAAACAAGAAAAAGGTGTTTTCACTTTTCTGTTGTCAGTTTTCAAAATTATCATAATTTTAAAAAGTTTATATAATTTTTGATTCATTATGGGACACATATCATATAGTTTTAGAAAATAAAAAACCAAAAAAACAGAAAACCATAGCACTGCCAAACGAACCCTTAGGTGTTGTACTGTTGTTTGGTTCACATGACAATTAAAACAAAATTTGTGGGAATTTCATAAAATGAGAGTTAATATATTGATTGTATATTAATTGAAAAGTGCACGTGAATATGAAGAACAAAGTAGAGGTCAATCTCTTTAAGGTTGGATTTTTAACTTCATCTCCAATTATTCGTTCCAACGCATTTCTAATGCGGCTGGCTACACAGTGCGACAAGGTGGCATATCAGTAACCCCTCTAGTAACCCCCCAGACAAAGTAACCCCTGACTGACCTAGTAACCCCTAACCGACCTAGTAACTCATTGACAGGGTAAAGTCGTATCCCCAAATCAAAAGTAATACCTAAATCCTCTAACTAATGTAGATAGGAAGTAGGGTCGAATCCACAGATAAACGGATCTTTATATTCCTAATTAACTAATATGATCTAGATTATTAGGTAACCAATTATGTAAATTTGAATAATAAACTAAGCTATGGAGATCAAGAATAGAGAGAAAATAATATATAAAAGGATCTAGGGCACAGGTTCACCAATAAATAATATTCCAGGGTAGAGTATAATAATCATTCATCAATGCATATATTAATCAGATTATAAAGGGCTTTCGCTACGTATTATAATCACACAATTAATTTACTGATATTAAATCTCATCTTTCGAATCTCGACCTAACCATTTATAAATTAACCTGCCTAATGAAACTAGACCTAAACATCAATTCTCATCTGTCGAATCTCGAATCAATATTGTTGAACTCATGCATAAAAGATTTGCGCAAATCTAGTCACAGAGCATTAAATCAATCAATAGGAAATTAATCTAGCATTGACAATTAACAACCATAAATTACCCCTTCACATTATTCATGGTTCCCCATAAACCCTAGAAAGAAAACTACTCACACATAGTAAAAACTAAACTAATCAAAGCAATAAAACAATTTATGATGAAAGGAGTAAGATAAACAACTAAGATTAAGAGAAGAGAAGTAGTTACCAAACTAATATGTATTAATGGAAATAATTAAGAACAAGAGTTGAGAGAAAAATTAAGAGAGAGAAAATTCCTAACTAGAGAGAGAAAGTCTAAGAAAGAAGGTAATCCAAAATTACGTACAAATCTCCTACTTAAACGTTCCCTAAAACAAAAATTTAAACTAAACTAATCAGGTCCTATAAAACGCGCGCCCGATCGGGCGAAGGGCCGCCCGATTGGGCACGCCTTTTTCTTTGCGCTCCTTCTCAGCAGCATCGCCCGATCGTGCTAGACGCTTGCACGATCGGGCGCGCTATCAGCCACACACAACACTAAGCATGCCGCGCCCGATCGTGCTAATGCTTGCCCGATCGGGCCCTTGCTTCACTTTGAGGCTCGGACTTCGATTGGGCTTGATTTCTTGGCCCAATCCGGATTTCCTCTTCGGGTCTTGAATACTCGGTCCAAATACCTTGGAATCCCAATTACTGAGCCCATAATCACCGGCTCGATGACTCTAACCGGCCTTGGGCTTCAAAGATGGTCGTATTTCTCCAATGCTCGTGATTGCTCCAAAATAACTCGGGAAAATACTCCAAAAGCATAAATCCCTGCAAAAGTCAACCACATCTACGAAAACACTATAAAGCACTAATTAGTAATAAAAGTGATTCTAAAGAGCCAAAAACACTACTAATTATGACCAAGGGACGGGGGTAAAATACTATATAAAATAGACACATCACTCATAACCTAGTAACCCCAAGTAACCCCTAACCGACCTACCTAGTAACCCCTGACCTACCTGGTAACCCCGACCTAGTAACCCCTGACCAACCTACTAACCCCTAGTAACCCCCAACCTAGTAACCATTTACCCACACCCAAACCCACCGTAAGCACCACCAACACCAACCTTTCTCAACTGCCGTCCTCAAAACCTTAAACTCCACCACACCACCTCCCGTACCAATAACAACCACGCCTAGATCAAAACCATAAATAAATTAAAATTATTAAAAAAAATCGAACAAATATCACAAAAGTAATATTGTCTTCGAATGTCACTTGAAATATGGCTAAAAAAGCCAAATTCAGCAATAAAAAGTCTAGATCTAGAGTTTCCATGGCTGAATTTAGCCTTTAAACCTCTAGCTTGTTTTTCGGCGACGGAGTACGAGGAGATTCCTTACCCCCTACCACCGTTGCTTCATTTAACTTGTTTATTTTGAGTGGGATAACTAGAGAAGATGAAAATAGGAGATAGAAAGAGGAGAGATAGAAGAAAGTTCGGGAAAGAAGTGTGTTTAGGTGGGAAGAAGAAAACAAGAAAGAGAATAGGTGATAGAGAAAAGAGAGAAAAAAAATTAAAAGAAAAAATTATATTGCGGCTGGCCGTATGGTGCGGCCAGCCGCATATGAATCTTTGTGATTACGTGAGGCTAGATAAGTAAGTTTCTACATTTTGTGGGAACTCAAAATTCTTAGGAAGTTCCACTTTCTCTAAATCACCAAATTTTTGTCAACCAAACAACACACCAAATTTACTATTCCTAAAAAGTCTCACATTTCATTTTTATTTTTTTATTTTTATTTTTTTTATATATTTTTTTTATGTCAACCAAACAAGCCTTTATTTTTATGAATGAATCATATCTTAAGTCTTTATCGGAATAAAACTTGGCTAATAGTGCTACTTGATATAAAAGTTGTATATTTGTACCAAGTATTGTCATAATTAATTCATTCTTTAGAAGTGGTTTTAGCAAATGAGATCATTGATTAAAATAAAGTTTTATCCATTAAAAAGAAACGAACTTTATAACCAATCTTACGTAGCTATTGGATGGTAATTTGGAAATAAAAATATAATTCATCCCAATGCATAAATGTAATTAAAATAGTAAACAACCATAGATATAAAAAACTATAAATCAACCAAAGAAGTTAATGCCGAGGAAAGGAGTGAGATTTTAGTGAGAACCCAATAAATGATCAAGTGGGAGTAGAATCCGTTGGCTCTATTGATGATGATCCCATGCCTTTTGAAATCAATCAAATGCAGCCTATGCTCACACCCACTACCTTCATTTTTTCGTCCAAGCCAAAGAAATATGGAACGTTGCATATGCCAAAAATGAAGGTCCAAAAAGTTAAGAATCACCCTAGGTATTATTTTTGCAGGTCCAAGAAGCGCAAAGCCGCAAAGGAATTACAGAGCCAGCATTGATGACCTAAATTCAAGCACTCATGAAGGAAATGATCAACCCCCTTATATGTACTTGTTAGCAGGTCATGAGCTATATACCACTCCTCCCATATTATAATTACTTGTGTAAGGGTGGTTAGTGTCTCTCATAAGTATAATTGGATTTTCACTTTTGTAAAAGAAAAAAAAAAACCATCCAATTTTAGGCATGTCCAAGCTATGTACAAGTCCAACATCTAGCTAGATCAAAATCATTGGACCATATATCGAATTCATCTTTTTTGATGGATTGAAGACCAAATTGGAATTTCTTCAACCCACGTGCATGAGTCTAGACCTAATTTTTAAGACCCATATAAATTTGATATTAGTCAATTCTAGTTCGCCTTTGGACCAATTTAGACAAGTATCGTGAAATTAAACCCTTAATATATTTATTTACCGTGTTTCTTTAGCAAACTTGCTAGTAGTATTTTATTATTTCATACGAAGTATACCGAAAGCACATTATAAAATTCAATTATGAATCTTATATGAATATTTGAGAATCAAGGTTGGCCTAGTGGTTAGAGACCATCCTTTAAATCTTTTGAAAGAGGACTTTGGTTCTCACCCCAAGCAACTAGAATTCCCAATTTATCCCCTTACTTGCAAGAGAATTCTCTTTAGTCTTTACCAAAAAAAAAAAAAAAAAAAATTAGTACCCATCTAACCTATGTATTTGGTATTCCACATAACTTTTTTTTTTTTGAATAATGGTATTCCACATAACTTTGAGCACTTAGGATCCTCATAATCAAAATATATTACTCATAATCACTTATTCCCTTTTTTTTTGGTGTGTACATAGTCATAAAGGCGGGTGACAAATTGATGACACTAACGAGAATCAACACCAAGATCCTTTGATACCAATTCCTTCTACATGATCTTTTGGATTGGTACATTATTAAGTGCTCTTCTCATGTTACATTATTAACCATTGTTTTAGAACGAGTGTTGGGTGCATATCGTTCCCTAAACACCCAAGCACACAATTCAAACATGAATCGCAAAATCAATGACGCTCGGTATTACCGGATATAAGACGGAGACCCTACTTAGCCGAAACCCATCAAGCCTTCTAGTTAACTTCCACTTGGTGAGCTAAAATTAAGTTTGGTTCATTTTTCTTTTTTGAAACAGAAGTTCCCATCGTTTCAATTCAGTAATTCCAAAAAAATTTCGCTTGAAATTGTTACACCCTACTTCAGTATTTGCTCTGTATTATCTTTGCTTCATCGAAGTTCATTCTGAGTTCTCCATTGAAGCAGCTTCTGGGGTAAGATGTTTTCTTTAGTAAACCCCTTTTTTGAATCGAATATCAATTTCGCAACCTAGTGTTTATTGTTAATTTCATTGTCAGTATATTCAATTTAGGGTTCTTCTTAGATTATTGAACTTTTACTTATAATTACTGAAGTTATGAGATATCATAATTCATAAAGGTTGATTTTTTTTTTTTTTGATGTTTTTAAGCTAGATGAATTTTATGTGAATATTGGAGCCTAATTTGATAATTGAATCAAAATTTGTTGCTAATATGGTTCTGGGTTTTGTTTACAAATCTTCAATGTTAAGATGAAAGTATGATATTGTACCTTTTCTCCTAACCCCCGGCGAACCGCTCTTCTTGCCTTAGCTCAGGGATTTGCCTGCTTATTGTGTGATTCATCCACTAGTGTTTAGTAGGTAAATCTTGCATTGTTGTTATTGTAAAGACTCCTGAGAAAAATAAATGAATGGCTGCGATGAATTGCATTGGAATTGGTTGTCGAGTATTGCGATTCCTGATATTCATTGTTGTTAGAGCTTTCCTGTAGAATATGGGCTTCTTTCCATTAGTTATCAGTTTGCGTAGCTCGTGCCCTTGCGCTAATTTTTTAGCCAAGGAGTTGATAATTAACTATGCGAACGAATTACTTAGTGTAGGGTAGCAAGAACTGTAAATGTCTTGGCTCATCTATAATCATATTTTGGAGTAGCAGGATATGTCTGTCGTAAGTAGAGTGACATATAGCCTGTAAATAATTTTTTGTCTAGGAGTAGTAATGTGGATTAGTGAGCAATCAGCTTGCTTCATCCCTTGTATTCTTTGGGAAAATGATATGATAGTATAGCTAATTTTAGTTAGTATCAGCTAAAAGCTTGTGGATGTGATAATATTGAACCAAAATTGAATATTGAACAAAAATCACTGGAGTCTTGTGGTGGCCTCTGATCCTCTATCTAGCAAAACTTCTAGCTTCAAAGCACAATTAGGAAGGATTCAAAATCTGGGGTTGATATGTAATATGTTACATGTCACATGACAATTCTTGAGTTGCTATGTTTTTGTGCATTTTAAGCATTATTTGACACTATATTATTCAGTCTTCTGCATAATTATGTGTCTAAGTCTCATGTCTTGTAGATATTTAGCTAGTCGGCTTTTTCTATTTTTAGAATGTTATTGAAGTTTCTTTCTCATTAGAGTTAGAGTACCATCATATGCTTCAAAAAAATTTCTCTCGACGTAATAACTATTCTATGATTTCCTTATCAGATTACCGAAGTTGCTGGCATTTTTTCCTTCTCATGGAAGTGAGAGAGTCTGGATATTTATGTGTGCCCTTAACTCAGAAATATTAGAGAATGCTTCTTTTCTTCCATCCAATGTGTGTTAGGCAGTTGATCAGATGTCACCAGAACACTGCATATCTTGCTATTGCTTTTAAGTCAACCAGCCAGGCCTGTCTTCTTCCAGAAAGTGACAGAGAAATTGAGAGAGTTACTAAGATAATAAATGACCATCCATTTCCTGAAGCACCACTTCAGCCTACCCTCCTTCACCATATTCCACCTTCCAACCTTTCAGCTAGATTTGTGGAGAATGTTCTTGGCAGACTTTTTTCTGCCAATACTAATGGTGTCAAAGCCTTTGAGTTCTTCAAGTTCACCCTTCACTATTCCAACTTCTCTCCCACTCCAGATGCAATTGAGAAGACTCTGCACATTCTTACAAGAATGCGATATTTTGAAAAAGCATGGGAAGTGATGGAAGAGATTGTCAAAATAGATCCTTCCCTGCTGACACTCAAGTCAATGAGTATTGTTTTATCTAAAATTGCCAAGTTCCAGACTTATGAAGACACACTTGGTGCATTTGAGAGAATGGAAAAAAACATATTTGTTGGAAGAGAATTTGGAATTGACGAATTCAATGTGTTGCTTCGTGTATTTTGCTCCCAAAGACAGATGAAGGAAGCAAAATCTGTGTTTAGTAAAATGTATTCACGATTCCCGTCAAACACTAAGACCATGAACATTTTGCTTTTGGGTTTCAAGGAATCTGGCGATATAACTTCAGTTGAATTATTCTACCATGAGATGGTGAAAAGAGGTTTCAAGCCTAATAACATCACATATAATATCCGAATTGATGCTTACTGCAAGAGATGTTGCTTTGATGATGGATTGAGACTTTTTCAAGATATGGAACGTACAAATTGCTCTCCAACTTTAGAAACAGTCACTACTTTGATTCATGGGGCAGGTGTTGCTAAAAATGTGACTCGGGCATGGGAGTTGTTCAATGAACTACCTACAAGAAAGTTATACCCTGATGTTGGGGCTTATAATGCAATGATTAGTGTTCTTGTGAAATGTAAACAGGTGGAATATGCCATTAACTTGATGAATGAAATGGAAGAGAAGCAAATTGCTCCTGATGGCATAACGTATCATACCTTGTTCCATGGCTTAATGAAGTCAAATGGCATCGAGGCTGTTAGAGGTCTCTACGAAAAAATGGTATTGTTAAACTTTATTCCTGAGACCCGTACTGTAGTGATGCTTATGAAATTCTTCTGTGGAAATCACCATCTAGATTTAGGCTTAAATTTGTGGAATTACTTGATGGAAAAGGGTTCTTGTCCTCATGACCATGCATTGGCTCTTTTGGTGACAAGTTTATGTTCGCACGGGCGGGTTCAAGAAGCTTTTGATTGTGCCAAACAGATGTTAAACAGAGGAAGGCATATGGGAAAACCAGTTTTCCACATGTTAGAGAGGTTTTTGCGGGAAGCAGGTGAATTAGACAAACTGCAGAACCTTGATGAGATGATTAAGAAGTTGGGTAGTGTTTATCCCCCATCAAGGGGACATGCTCTTGGACTGTCTACTTCATTCTGTTGAGATACCTTTGTGTTACCCAAGTGATCTTCATGCTGTGTAGAATATCCCCCAAGAAAGAAATGTTTCAGAGGAGAAAATATTGTAATGAAATTGCAAATAACAATCTGATTGCTGCCTTAACTAAAAGATGAAATCATTCTTATTTGATTTTAAGGCTAAGAATGATGTTGATAACATCCATGCTGACATGGTTTTGAGGGTTATTGAAAAATAAGGGTAGGATATTATGGGCTAGGAGCTGCATGAGCTCAATACCAATCCTAATGGTGTTTGATTATGCCTATTCTTCAACCAGAAAGAATAGGAGTACAGGACTAAAGCATATGAGTTGGATTTATCAGCAGAGCAATTTTATGAGATACGAAAAAGTGTTGGGAAAGATTTTGTCTGTCAAATGCTGACAGAGAGGAGCTACTTCTGTTTTGATCAGTTGCGTGATGCTGCTGCAGAGTTCTGATTTCTGTTGTGGCTTTTGGTGCCATTAGTTGAGTGTGTCTGCTGCTGTCAACCTGTCGTTACAATGAGCCAGAGTTTGTTGTGTGTTATGCTCAAAACGCAAGCTTGACTACCTGCCTACCGCTTGATGTAATTGAGTGTTCTGGTTAATTTTTCTGCTGTGACCCTGTGACACTCAATGTGATGAACTCACATAACTATGTGAAATCCTAGGAGATTCTTTTTGGAAGGTGATCCTCTTGATTCAACAATGTAAGTTGGACTATTTCCCGTTTTGTCCGAGCCTTGTAGCTCTACCCATCAGTTACACTTTCCATTTTGTATCAGTATATAGTAGCATTCATAATGATTTCCTAAGAAAGGATGTTAGGTTGAAATATTTAAAACGGATGCATGATTATTCCAAGATAATGTTGCATACTCATGAAAAGTTATATATTACTACTCTGAGATGTTTAAAAATTGTCTCTTTCTTGTATTGAATTGTCCAAAATACCTTCTAGTTATACGGAGTCTGAAAAATAAATAATGGAGGTGACCTAAAAATTGATAAATTGTTATTGTTAATAAAAACACTTCTAACCTCTAACAAAAAAAAAGAAAAAAGAAAAAAAAGGGGAAATTCTAAGAGAGCTACAGAACAGAGTATAATTTCAGTAATTTATATTGTCAATGATCATCTTGTGCATGGGTGATGAGTGTTTTGGTTGAGAATTTGATAACCCACAGAAATAGAATACAAACAAATATCCTTCTAAATTTGGATTAAAATAGGAATAGGGGAGTTGTTGTAAAAGTGGGAAACGTGTGTTGGAGTAAAAAAAACCATCATCTAAAGATTGTGACATTTCACATAATCTTTCATGTTTCCTTTTCTGTCGGAATTCCTTATCTTATATACATACAAGTATATTACCACTTTGAATCAATTTATACCAATCCATAAATGGAGGGTAATGACACCAAATGCAGTGGAGAACAAAGGTAAAAGGGCTCCCCCTTTCTAATTTTTTTAATTGTTACTATTAGTACTGTATCTTTTTATATCTTATGCCAAACTTGCAATACCATGTAAAATCATTTTACTATTTGTTTGATTCTTCAATGTTGTAGGTTTGTAGTAGCATGTCCTTCAGTGTAAGATTTCCATTACAAAGACTGTAGCATATTTGCAGTGTAATCTTTTTATGCCCTTTATAGTTTATAGTGAGGTAACTGAGGTTTGGAGAATTGGATCTTAAAAAAAATCCTTTTTATTTAGTTGAAAGGTAGTTGGTTGCTTATTTCATGTACTCTTTATGAGAAATTACTCACAAAATTCTATGATAAAATACATATTAGGTTGAAGGGTAAAGTTGCAATAATAACAGGGGGTGCAAAAGGTATAGGAGCCACTACAGCAAAATTCTTTGCCTTAAATGGGGCTTATGTAGTCGTGGCTGATGTACTCGATGAGCTAGGCATTGCCCTCGCCGATTCCATAGGAGGCCGCTACATACATTGTGATGTCTCTAAGGAAGCTGATGTAGAGTCAGCAGTGAAGCTAGCTTTGGCATGGAAGGGCCGTCTTGACATTATATTCAATAATGCAGGTAGGTACGTAATTGAATAGTTTCTAGCTAACATGTTCAAATTACTTGGAATTCTGGAGCATGTAAAACTTTTCTTCATCTGTTTTTTCTGCTTTCTAGTTTGAAAGTATATTTTAATTATTGCTCAAAGGGAGGTCATTTTTTTGGTTATTTAAGGTCTAGTTTAGTAATTTGTACCAAATAGCAGCTGTAGCTAAGAAGTAAATGGTTTTGTAAGTATAGTCACACAAACAGGCATTCTGTTCAAGTCAATATGGTTAGACTGTTTCAGCAATTGAGCATGTACTCATGTTTGATTAATTAGTTTTCGGTTCTTTTCAGATCGGTTTAGTCATATACGGGATAGCTCAATCTATATTAGTCATCTTAGTTTACTGGCCGGACTGGTTGTAATTAGGTTGATGGTCAGATACTATTTGAGTTAGAGCTGGGTAATTCTTGTCAAGTAATCAGGTTGGAGTTAGTTATTTTAGGTTTAGCATATAGCATTACAAATTTAGCAATCAGTAAAATTCAGTTAATCACGATTGATTTACATATTGCTAAATTCTCTTCATCAAATACTCGATAAACATGCACTACCGTAATTTTCTTGTAGGCACATCTGGCGCAGATGGGAGCATCACCAATGTCAACATGGATGAAGTAAAAAACATTGTTGCAGTTAACTTGTATGGTGTAGTACATGGGATCAAGCATGCAGCCCGTGCCATGATCGAGGGTAAAATAGGCGGTTCCATCATATGTACCTCTAGCTCAGCAGCAATCATGGGAGGCTTAGCCTCACATGCCTACACAATGTCAAAAGGTGCAATCCAGAGCCTGATCAAGAGTGCAGCATGTGAACTTGGAGGACATGGTATCCGAGTGAACTGCATTTCTCCTCATGGAGTTCCTACCGATATGCTCATTAGCGGTTATCGGAGGTTCCTTGGTGACATTGATGCGGAGGAAGTTTCCAAAATAAGTGCTAAAAGTTGTAGTCTACTGACAGGAAGGGGTGGGAAAACCCAGGACATTGCTGCAGCTGCTGTTTTCCTCGCTTCTGATGAATCTGAATTCATTACTGGACATAATCTCGTGATTGATGGGGGTTACACTGAAGCAAGCACTACTATGGTTCACATGTACCAAGACCCAAAATCGGTCTAGTAAATTGTTCTATCCTATCCCCTTTTGTTCGGTATAACCAGTATAGTATTGTATGGCGTATAGTAAGCTGCAGAAAAAAGCATGTATTCCAGTTGTAACTGATACGAAATTATAACTTCTGGTTAAGCTAATTCAAAGCTAATAATAGCAAAAGAAGTAATTTGTATCATATATTCATATGCATGCCACTTCTTTTTTGTATAAAGTAGCAATTACTCAAGTTTTTGCTTCAATGCTCTCTACAAATGCAATAATTGAGGATTATTTCATGAACCTGTTCTATTTGCTCCCCGTAAATATAGAAGGGGAAAAAGGTTGAGATGTAGCGTAGTTGCATCGCTCCCTACTTCATATATACCTCTAAATGGGACTCAATTGAGAGATTTCCCTTATCTCTCCCCAAATGAGTCCCCTAAAAATTCATTTTGTTTTTTTTCATGAAAATATTTCATTGGTTTTCATGATTTGATCATAAATTTCTTACCTATTCTATATCTAATTATGCAAGTTTGGTTAAAAAGATTTAATATGAATGATTAAAATTGAAAATAATTAAATTATTAGCGTTATATACAATTTTATTCGGTCTCTTCATTTCATATCAAGTACCCGTGTCGGACCCTTGACGCTCGAACATGAGTATGACACTTAAACACTTCATTTTAAGTTCAAAATCAAAGAGTTTTTCACAAAAGAGCCAAATCGGATACTTGTACTCGTATCCGTGTCAAACATAGATACCCGAGTACAAGTAAAAAGGTTATGAATCAAACAATGTACACTGTTATGAACCAAAAAGTATGTACAATTTTGTCACATAGCAATGTAGCATCACCCTTACAACATTAATTTACAAGCAACTAATCCAAATCTTAAAAACAAAATCACAAAATCTACCTCTCCACAGGCCAAAAAAGCTCCACATCATCATTCATCAATAACTAAAAAACACTTCCACGTGTCAACTTCTCATCTTCTCCTCTTCCACCTTTCTCTGTTCTCCTATCTCACACTAAAAACAGAAAAATTAAAAAATGTACACATTAAGAAATTCTTCCCTCTCAATTTTATCCTTGCAAAAATTTACAAATTCATCAAAACCCACCTCAATTATCATCAATTTAACCCAAAATCACTTTCCAAAACAATTTTATGCAATGAATTCAGCCTCTAATTCTGAAAATATTCAATCAAAACCATCCCAAAAATCAGTAATTTATAAAGTTCCTGCCTTGGAAACTAATGACATTGATAAAATTACAGGGCAAATTTTCCAAAGATACTATCTTTCTTCTGAAAATAAGAGAAATGGTAAAGGGGTTTGCATTATATGGTTTAGAAATGATTTGAGAGTGTTGGATAATGAAGCATTGTTCAAAGCTTGGGCTTCTTCTGAGGTCGTTTTGCCTGTTTACTGTGTTGATCCTCGCCATTTTGGGACTACTTATAGTTTTGGGTTCCCTAAAACTGGAGGTATGATTGCTTCTTTCATATAATTCTTGTTAAAAGTTAAATTATTGGGTTTCTGATGTGTTAATGGAGGAGAATTTGTAATATTGTGATGTGGGTGTTTATTCTTTTTTGATTTTTGTATGGATTTTGGATGTGTTTTCATCTTAGTGTATTTATATGTTTGCAATTTTTCTGGGGTATCAAATCCTGTCTACAATTCTGGCATTTGTGGCTTTCTACACATACAAAAATTCTATCTTGTTTAAATTTTATCATAATGTAGTTGATGCTTTACAAAGAATATGTTATAAGATGAGTGACTTTTCAATCTTATAATGTGTTTTTTACCTTCTTCTTCTCTGGATCTCATGAGGTTTACAATGGGGTTTCAATAACAATTTGAGAGAGATTTGGATTGGTACTAAATAGTGCAAGGGCTTTGGTAACATGGTCGTTTCTATTAGGACTCTTGAGGGTTGGAAAATTATTTGGACAGGATAGTTGAATGTGGAAATGAGCTGGATGGAAAATTCGGAGTATGAAACTATGAACTACTATTGTACTTTTGGAGGAAATTTGCTCGATGCTAGACTGAATAAACTTTTTTACCCAAGGGTATGGCTTGGATGCTTAGGAAGATTGTGAGTTTTAGGTAGCATTGCCTTAATGGACAGGTGTGGGAAGATGCAATTATTGGAGGCAAGAACTCTCAACTAAGGTGATGTTTATAAAACTAACTTTGATCAAGTATATCTTGGAGATGCCTAACTTGCTTGGAGATGCCTAACTTGCTTCAATGTTGCAATGCTTTAGGCTGTGTTTCTATTTTATGGCCTACTTTCTGGGGATGTGGGTTCATCTAAGCATTAAAGATTGGCTTTGACAGTTGGCAATATTGGCATGAATGTTAACAAAAAATGTGCTCTTTATTGCTCCTACGTCTATCCGCCCTACTTGAATAGTTTGGAACTTTGTACTTATGCTGAAATTTGATAATGATATTGTATACTTCATGCAGTCAAGTTTCTAGAGCTTTCTAAAGCTGGAATAACTGGAAATTATTGTGTGCTTAATTGCTTATGAGCTGCTTTCTGCTAATGCTATTTCTTCCAAAGTTAACATAAAGGAGGATTTCTATTATGCTTTCTGTTTGAAATATTAAAACAAAAGAAGTATTCAGCTTGTGATTTTTATCTGATGTCAAGCTCACAAAAAAAATATGACAGCATTAAGAGCACAGTTTCTTATAGAATGTTTAGCCGATTTGAGGAAGAACTTACAGAAGCATGGTTTAAACTTGCTGATTAAACATGGAAAGCCTGAGGAAATTCTTCCTGCACTTGCAGAAACCTTTGGAGCTCACACAGTTAAGATAATTCCTTAATTTGAATTCTGAAGAAGAATAATTGTCCTCTGCTTTTGGTTAACCATATTGTTTAAACAACATAAATTTCAATTTGGCTGTACCAGATATATGCTCAGAAGGAAACATGCAGCGAGGAGCTAAATGTTGAAGTACGGGTAAATAAAGGTTTGCAAAAAGTATCGCTTCCATCAACAGTAGGCCAATCTACAGCCCAAAATGGAGCAAAGACTCCTAAATTGCAACTTCTTTGGGGAGCTACTTTGTACCATAAAAATGATCTTCCCTTTAATGTGAAAGACATTCCTGATGTCTACACAATTCCGTAAGGTATGTAAGGTCTTTTTAATACTTGGCACCAAACACCCTCCACTAGTTGTTCAGTCATTTCTTGTTCATCCCTTTTTTTTACAAATTTTTTTTACTACATATGTTGGAATTTACAGTCCATTGAATCCAAGAGCAAAATCAGAGCCTTCATCAAGATTCCTGCATCACTTGGCCCTCCTCCTAAAATTGAAGACTGGGGTACCATTCCTTCTATTGACCAGTTAGGGTTACATAACCAAGAGGTATGTTACTGAGGTATCTGAGTGTAACTAAATCACGAATCAACGAATTCACAAGTGCCCTTCTTTTGCTGTTTCATTTTCCTGACAGAGATAGAATATGGCCTGTTTCTTGTTATGTGACAGGTAGACAAAGGTCTAGTATTTGTTGGTGGTGAAAGCGCTTCATTGAGCAGAGTTCATGAATACTTCTGGAAACAGGTTAGCTGCTTGATTTTTGAGCTGACAAGTGATGTCAATCTCCTCTAGCACATAATAAGATGCATCCTTACGATGTGAAACATATTGTACATGTGTTGCTACATTGCCGTTTTAACAGCTCATGTTACTATGACAATTGTTTTTAAGATTGTTGTTCACGTTATGATAAAATGTTTAGGATCTGTTGAAAACATACAAGGAGACACGGAATGGAATGATTGGATCTGAATACTCAACGAAATTTTCTCCATGGTTGGCTAGTGGAAGTTTGTCTCCACGCCTCATATACGAGGAGGTTGAGTATTGAACCTTTTCTTTATCTAAATATTCAGTCTCTTCAAACCATGGAAAAAAATTATAACACATGGAGAATGACTTTATGTTTATACTTTTATAGGTCAAGAGGTATGAAAGGGAGAGGGTAGCTAATGATTCAACATACTGGTAATAGTTTCATTTATTAGTTATATACTCATATTAACAGCTTGTCCAACGAGAAATTTGTTTCTAAACTGTTCAATATAATTTCAGGGTGTTATTTGAATTGATATGGAGAGATTACTTCAGATTTATATCAATCAAATACGGAAATTCTATTTTCCATTTGGGTAATATCTAAATTTCTTGCTCTCAATTAAATGCATGGAACATTTAGACTCTTCATTTTCACTCCTAAGTCCTGAAAACCGTGGTCTGGTTGATAGTTATGTAACCATTCTTAATTTATTTCCTTGTCTATCCTTTAGGTGGTCCTAGGCATTTAGATAACAAATGGAGCCAGGATACTGCATTGTTTGAATCATGGAGAGACGGCAAAACTGGGTATACATTTTTCATTCAAGTTGCTTTTATATCAATTCAGATATCGCATTTTCAAATTCTACCTTTTATTTTCTAGTAGGTCAAGAGTAAAATAATGGGCTTAGACACTTGCAATTTTGTAAATGTAACTTCAAATCAAATGAAAGTTACACCTTTTTGAAGCTTGGTTTTATGTAAATTGGGGTGACACTATGAATTTGGGGCGATTAAGCCTATTGTATACAAACACACCAGTTGCACCTCTTTTTTGAGCCTGGTCTTGAATGTGTGGCACATTGTCTCTCGCTTTCTTGAATTGTGGCGTATAATTCATGAACAAAACAGGCCTTATGAGCTGTTGATTCATTTATGCTTTTAGATGCACGGTGGTCAGGCATTCTGGTCAAACATTTCACATCTATTATAAACAACATTTTTTCAGGTACCCACTAATAGATGCAAATATGAAAGAATTAGCAACTACTGGCTTCATGTCTAACAGGGGTAGACAGGTAAATTCCGACTTCTCATCAAGCTTGTTGCCATTTGTGAAGATATTGAAATTTTTATTGATTTTTAACGTGTATATAACCTAATTGAGGCATTGGAATTTTGTTGTTAGATTGTTTGCTCTTTTCTTGTGAGGGATATGGGTATTGACTGGCGTATGGGGGCAGAATGGTTTGAGACGTGTCTCTTGGATTATGATCCTTGTTCTAATTACGGAAATTGGACATATGGAGCAGGTTCTTTCCTATCTCTCTCTTGAGCACACAAACACGAAATCATATGTATTCACTAGTTGTCTACTTGTCCATGGTTGCTAGCCACGGCTCAATCTTCAATGTTCATCTTATGGTCATTGTTACAATGCTTTGATGTTAGTTTTGCCTCACATTCAATATCTAGGGAATTTTATTTTGCATGTCATTCGTGTTCTTCTGCTCAAAACTGTTCACTTTAATCTAATAATATGGAGTACAAGTTCATCCGGATATGTTATACTGTAAACACATCGATCTGAAATTGATTCTGATTTGCTAACAAAGGGGGATGTAGTACATAGTGAATTTTAAAAAGATTAAGCCATTCTGATAGATGGTGCTCCAGGCCACCAGCTTATTCATCTATCTGTGCTATGTCCACTTCTTAATATCCATGCGTCGTAAATTTTAGTTTACTGAGTCTCTGTGCGATGCTGTGTGTGCAGGTGTTGGAAATGATCCCAGGGAAGATAGATATTTCAGCATTCCCAAACAGGTATAACCTTCAAATTTCAACCCTCTATACAAAATAACAAGTACTTCGTATAAAGGGTGCTTTTTCGACTTAACACACGATCAATCTTAACCTTTATAGGGCTGTAGCATAATAATCTTGAAACAATCCCAGTTCATGGTCTCAGCAAGCAGAACTGCAGAACAGAATAATCTAGAAATGTACTTAACACAATACTGTATTTTATAGGTTACGGTAGCAAAAGAACACAAGAATATATCATGCCAACTAAAGCATTGCTGACATTCTAAGGGAACTTGCTTGAATTTGATTTTCAGGCACAGGTATACGATCCTGAAGGCGAGTATGTAGCCTATTGGTTACCGGAGCTAAGACGGCTACCCAAGGATAAACGTCACTTTCCAGGGTTTTCGTACCTTAAACCTATAGTGCCCCTTAAGTTTGGAAACACTGGGAAACAGGGTGGCCAAAAAGCTGGCCCTTCTCGAAGAGATTACAGAGCTGGCGGGCCGAGAAACAAACACTTTACAAGATAAACTGATGCCAAAGTAACCTATTAAAGAAAAATAAAGATGAAAGAATTAGAATTAGGAAACTAGGTGAGAGATTTAAATCATACCTATTGCTCGTCGTGTCTTCTTACACACACCTAAAGGTTACTTTTTTTTTTTTTTTTTTTGGTGAACCAATTGAAGTAATGTTCTATAATATATGTACTAGATACCAAAAATTTTTGTTTAGTATAACTAATTCTCATGTATATGATAGACATGCGAAAATCAGTTAATTTAAGAATGATCAACGAAGTCAAACTTGGTAATAGTATTCTCTTTTCAATTTGGAACCCTAGCTTTCTCCAATTGGCAGCCCTTGCTAGCTTTCTCTTACGATAATTGATTTCAAATTAGCTTATTTTTCTTAGAAAATGAGCTGATCCAAAAATTATTTATATGCAAGTCTAAAAATACATTTATACATCAATGGTTGAATCTTCCAATTTTGCTGTAAACCACTAATTCCGCCTAATCGGGGCTGGAGCATGGGAGAATGAAGAGTAATGATTTCAGCAAGAGCAGCTGGACGGACTCGTAAAGTGAGTCTTGCCCTGAGGATTACAGATTCGAATCCTGTCTTCGCCTGTTTACATCAGTGGTCACTAGTATCACTGTATCAGTCTGTGTACAATTGAGTTGAATATCCATGGGAACCCCGGTAATTTTCAGGTCAGATAATAAGGATACTGATACGCTGGAGTTCTCTCTGCGTTCACAAGCAGTTGTATGCAAATAATGCATGAATAAAATTATAATAGGCAGAAGGTTCTCACATATTTAAGGCTCTATTGTCCGAAGAGAGATATAACCCAGCAATTCTCAGTTCGCACGCAAAAATAAACAAATAACAGAAAGGCACGAGATTAATGGAAATATCGTACAGCACAACCTTCTGTCTTTTGCATTTGACAAGATTAGAAGGTTATCAACTTAAAAATTTCCTATAAAGTTCATCTAGTAGTAAACAATACAAGTATCAAACAAGAAAGTTAAAAGATACAAAGTGAAGGCGGATCTGGTACTGCAGTGGTTACTACAAGACACCTCAAAACCTGTAGTTGCTGTAGCCTCCCAAGCCAGAAGAATAACCTCCTCCAAGACCTTGACTTGTATAGGATGATAAAGACGACAATGATGAAGGGTGATACGTGCTTTCTGGAAGATGTGAATATGCAGCACCCAAGCCCAAATCACTTTTTCCGTACATGCTAGCAGGGGCTACCTTTTGCCCATTAATCGAATCCTGCAAACGTTAGGACATATCAATAATTTTACTCATTCTGAGGTAAACTAGAAGAACATTTAAATTATCACCAATTCATCATCATTGACATTACCATAAAGACATATAGTTGTCATTAAGTTTTACAAAAACCGTAATAAACTCCAGGTCCAGTTTATAGATGAGAAAAAAAAAACCCCTTATTAAACATGATACACAAGTAGACATAGGCTATGGATGAAAAAAGAAAATATTGAATACTAGTGGTTATAAAATGTACTATGATTACACATTATGACAAATGGAACAAATCAGGCCGGGTTCAGGTCATGTTTGGTTCAACATTGTCTTACTAGCTTTGGTCAAGTCAAGTCGTGCTATGATGTCCAAAACTTTTCATCATTATTTGAAATACCAAAGGGTCTTAAATCAGTATCTAAAGATTGAACACAAACTTTTTGATTAGAATGAAAAAAACATATTGCAAAAGTCGCAAGTAGATGCAGAAAAACAAGAAGTAAACGAAGGCAAAAACCTGGATAAGCTGTTGAGCAGTTTGGACCTGCGTTGCAGTGCCCTTAATTTCTACAGTGATCTCATCACCTCGACCATGACTTTCTTGGACAGTAAGAGCTGCACCACTGGCACGACGAATGTAGGCAATATTTCTTCCAGCAATTCCAATGATGTCTTCAGCGTAAGAAAGTGGTACTTGCATTGTTTGTGTAACCTGATTAGAGCAATCAGTCAAAAGAATGGAATTAATTGCATATACAGAGTTAAAAAAAATAGAACACAGTGTCCTTAATGCAAAATATAATATGTAGGATTGTTGAATATCTCAATTGCAACTATGATGTTGCTGGGAAGCAAAACATACCATATCTTAACATCCCTTCTTCATTTGCCCCAAATTAACTTTTTTACTTGCCCCAAATTAACTTTTTCACTTCTAATTCGGAAACTACCCCACAATAACTATAATTAATCTCTTTCCACAGACAAAAAATTATGATCTCACACAACTCTCATCCACACACTCATATTCAATAAAACAAGATACACAAGTAGCCGCTGGCCAGCACAAATTTAAGAGGCTAACACATGAAACTCAATCTAGTACACAGACAGAACATCCTGACTTACTCTATCCCAAACCTTCACAAGTCATATTAAGATTATAAGAGCAACTCCAATGGTTGCTTTTAGGGACTAGCTTGCAATTTTAATAATTTTCAAGCTAATAGCCCAACCATTGGAGTATATTTAATAATTAGCTTGGTCAAGCTAATGCCAAGCAAATTAGCTTACCTAAGCTAGTTAGCTTAGAAATTAATTATCTCTAATAATATACTAATTATTTAAAAAATAAAGCTAAAAAATCTAAATGTTAATTAGCCTAACCATTGTGGTATGAATTAGCTAGAAGGAATAATAGCTTTGCAATCTTAGGTGGCATGGCCAGCTAATTTGACAATTAGCTTGCCATTGGAGTTGCTCTAATATGCTGCACAAACAAATAGCATTTTAAGAGTAGAGCTACTGGGCTAAAAGTATAGGGTTCTTCCAAAGACAACAAAAACTCAAATTTTCTTTATGGAAAAACTAAAAATATGCACAACAGCCTCTTCATGTATCTTAGACACGTGACAAAATTTAGAAAACTACTAAAATTGCAAACATCACCATAAAATGACTTAAGTCATCAAGAAACAAATCCTAGAAAAGGACAAACAATACTGGCAGCAGGAATCCCAAGCGAAGCCTGCTCTATACCCCCCCCCCCCCCACAACAGTCCCACACGGCCTCACAAAACAGCACAATTAATCAGGAAATTCTCTAGAATAATAATGTATCAGCAAATGCGCTATGCTTGCAAATAAATTTCTCAACTAAATTTTGATACGCATCACAGATGAAAACTTCAATCTCAACTAAATTTTGATCGATAACGTGTTAGGCATGGTCAGCACTCAGCACTTAACCCATAATAGCTAAAACGATTTCATTTAAAGTCACTTCATATTATTCATTCTCACTATATTCTATATCTACTGGATTCTTGCTATTTTCTTTCTTTTGTGCTCTTGATTAACAGGTTTAATTAGCATCTCAAACATCATTATTTCTTAAATATATTATGTGATATCATTTCTCCAAAGAAAAAAGTAATTGGCAAGCAAAAGTCCTAGATAGGATAAAAATAACTTTTCATTGGATTGTGGTTTCGAATGGTCAAACCATTATATAGTTAACACTAAAACAATGACGTGTTGCAACTTGCAAGTACAGATTTGACAGACCTATTAGGATTCTTTTCTTTGATGGAAAAAGAAGGGTGAGCCTCTGAGATTGCAATATTTTGGCTCGTTGATCAGCAGGTAAAGTCATGGGTAAAATCAACAGTAGAGTGTGATGTTCAATGATCTGAGGATCAAGGGTAGGAGAAACAGAGGTTTTTTTTGGTTGTATTGCAGAAAAGTAAAAAGTTTATCCTTGAGCAGATGCTTTAGAAGATGGGTGACTGTAAAAGTAATTAGTAGATTTCGGTATCCCCTAGTCCCCCTCAATTTTAGTAGGAGGGATTGTTTGCTTTTTGAATACTATTATAGCCAGAATCCTCAATCATAGAATAGTAGGAGAACATTTGAGTTCAGTCTCTTTGACTAATCCAAAAAACCTTTTTAATTTTCGCTTCCCTCTGAAGTGAAGAGGAGAACCCCAAAACTCTCAAGGGGGCTTTTGGTTTGGGGTATTCAAGGAAAAGATTAGCAAGACAGCCTTAATTACCTAAATTGTTGTTTGCTAAGCCTTTTTAATCATTCCCTTCACCCCGCTGTTTCCCCCACTTCCTTCTAACATGATTCCCTGCCTTCCATAAGGAATCAGCCATACCCCTAAATTCCTCTACACCAAACCATCTTTGACCAGCATTGACTATTCCATCACTTCTCACCAACGCCTGACCCCATGTCCCCAACCAACATCACACCACCCCATTGCCACATCAACCCTCCTCAGAAGTCATCACAGAAAACAGCCTCAATGCCCATCCAAAAGCCACCCTCCCACCACCTCGAATACCACCCACTTACCCCGAAAACCAACCACAAGATTCCACAAATCACCCAGCTACCCAAAAATCATCCCTAATGTCACCCAATCACCACCATAAGCTACCTACGAACCAGATCTAAGAGAAAAAGCGAAAAAGAGAGAGAATTGTGGAGGGGAGTGGTGGCGATGACGGGAGGAAGGTTGGTAGCGGTAGCGACAATTAAGGAAAAGGTAGTGGCAGCTGGTGTAAATTTGAAGGATGGTGATGGTAGTTGAGGAAAAAAAAAAGGTAATGGTACTACTCGCAGTATCCTAGTAGGTATACTTCCTACCTTAATAATCTCAGCAGTTGATAAGACAATTTTTTCTCATTACATAAAATTTATCTGAAATTTGTCCAGGTAATTGCTGCTCACTATGTAATTCACTGATTCATAACAAACTCTTTGCAGTTTCAATAGTTCATAATTTTCCTCCCCGACACCACCTGCCCTTTAGGCAAGACAAATATAAAATATAATTCGTATATATCAGTATTAAAGCCATCAAATTGACATTACATAATAATTGACTTCTTGCAAGGTGCATGTCACCTAACATCCCTATCCCCAACATATGTACAACGAAATAATCGTTTATACCTGAGTAATTATAGGAGCAGCAGCACGAGAAAGTCCCATAGAATGAAGAGAACTGAGCGCTGGATCTGATCCATACAGTGACACCGCAGAACGAGGGAATTTCATATCAAGTTCAGCTTCACGGTCATAATAGCTTTCCCGCTTCAATGACAGAGAATGATCAGCAATTAATGACTGAGATGTGGTAGCCTGAACCAAAGATTGGGATTTATCTTCCAAAGCATCAGCTGTCCTATCTTGCGATATTGTCCCTTTGTACTGCAGAAACAGCATATAAGTCACAACAAATGCCGAATGAAAGAAGACAATGCTAAATTTCAAAAATACAACTTCTTACAGTTTGCTCAAACACAGCCACAACACTGTGATCATGCAAAAACTTCCTCAGGTGACCAAGGACTGCTTCAAATGTTTTTTGAACTTTGAGAGCTTCCCCGTGTATTTCAATAATCCTTTCATCAGAAGCTGCATATGACGGAAGTTCACCTAGACAAGAATATATCCAGTAGAGTTTATGCAAAACAGAAGATGGAACAATAATATCTTATGTTAAATTACAATGAACTATATAACAAAAGGGATAGAACAAGATTCTACTGAATTTTTGTGAAGCAACACTTCAAGATGACAAAATTGTGTTTACAAATGCATGAATCAACCCAGCACAGGGCACCTGTTGCAGAGAATGTTCTCCCAGCTAATCATACAGAATTCAGCGGCACCTTAACCATTGGAACCAAT